TTCAAGTCATATATTTAGTTCCAGAGTATGCAGCAAATGTCGTTGAAAAACCACAATGTAATTGAAACTTTCCCAATTCTCACTTTGAGAAATGTAACAAGTTACAGATGTGATTTATCTCTAATAACAAGGCAAATACACTCAGGCTTACAATGAATTCTTAAATACTTCTGATTAATTAATAGATAACTTCAATAAAATCCAAGTTTGAACACGCTAACAATTTTGTTCCAATTTGCCTGCCAGGGGTACTTGTTTAGAGAAATGCAAGTGTGCTACAGGGCACTAAGATGTTTAGGTGTACCCATTTGAATTAAGCTGTGCCAACAAGAAGTTATTTTATGATTCCTCAAATTTTGTTAATGTCATACTCCATGAGCGTGATAATAAGATGATGCATTAAGAAAGCTGTGGCAATAAACATTTACTAGTCTTTTTGTTTAAAATGGTGATTTCAACACAAGGAAATTTGATGAATGCCATTATTATGCTTAATTCATGTTTAGTGAACATAATTTAAGATTGTATTCTGTTATAGACTTTATCTTACTGCTGTTGACACTGAGTCAGGTTATATCTTGAAATAGAAAAAAATTGTTTTGAAGTTAGAGTGAGTGAGTGAGTTGGGCTTTACGTCACTTTTAGCAATATCACAGCGGGGGACACCAGAAATGGGCTTCATACATATAATGTACCCATGGGGAAATTGAACCCGGGTCTTTGGCGTGACGAGCAATGCTTTAACCACTAGGCTGCCCCACAGCCCCGTTTTGAAGTTAGAAGACTGGGAAGTTTGAAGCCTTTGTGTATTTATGCCATATTAAATAAAAGAATCAATTCAAAGTTGTTTTGAAATGATTATCAAAGATTGGTATCATATTATGGAAATGGTGGTATTGTCACATCCCTTTGTGTTTAACATCCAAATTAGGTTGCGCGCTCCACATCATCTGAGGGATATGATTATATAGTATTGTCGCTAGCTCTACTGCCGTACAGTAATAGTCATTGGTCCTTCAATATGACATGATTAACATCAACCGCTGCTGTGTTGTACGACTTTCTTAAGTTGGAATCAGGTAAAATTACTCAGGCCCAGAGAACAAAACACTGAATCCCACTGGTGACTAGCGTGGTCTGCAGCAGTTAAACATGTCTTCCCTGCTACTAATTGTGACTAGTGTGCAAAGAGGGTCTGTTTCACAAGCATCAATATTTTAATGTGCTTGTAGTGGGAATCAGGGCTTCTAGAACTGACTACAGCAGGGAGAGGGGGAGAAAGAAGTGAGGATATATATAGCAATATTGATTGTTTGCCTCAAGGTGGGCTGTGTTTAAATCAATTGTATTGTCCAACATGTAGCACTCACAGGTCGGCCAAATCTCTGCCGAAATGCCTTTGGCACAGAACACGCCTCATGACGCTGAATGGCTGCAGTGTGCCTGGCTGCTTCAAATGCTATTGATTTTTCACTGTAGTGTCTTATTGTTCTTTTGAGGCTGCGTCAGATGTTAATATGATGTAAGGTAACCATGGTGTTTTAATATTTAAATTCTTGTGATAAGATGTTTGTTATAGTTGAATCGTTATTTTATGGTCAGCCACGAATGTTTAAGATAGCCTGAATAAGGAATGGTGGGTTTTGTAACGACTGGTTATGCATTGTCTGTCTTGTCTTACAGGTGAATGGCAGCACATTCGCTTGGTCAATTATCGCCAGGAGTTGTGGATCCTCAGTGCTTTTCACATTACAGATTTGGCAATTATTTCTTGACATGAATCCATTTTTATTCAGTGAGGGTGGGGTTTTATTCCGCTCAGTGGGGTCTAGGATGTAGGCCGTAAAGTGGAAGTGGGGAATGTAGGGTATAATGGTGGGGTGGGGATGTAGACTGTGCAGTGGGGTGGGATATAGACTGTGCAGTGGGGTGGAGATGTAGACTGTACAGTGGGGTTGGGAATGTAGACTGTACAGTGGGGGTGGGGATGTAGACAATTCAGTGGGGGTGGGGTTGGGATGTAGACTGAACAGTGGGGGTGGGGATGTAGACAATTCAGTGGGGTGGGGTTGGGATGTAGACTGTACAGTGGGGGGACTGGGATGTAGAGACTGTACAGTATGGGTGGAGTTGGGATGTAGACTGTACAGTGGGGTAGGGATGTAGACGGGTATGGAGGTGAGAGATGTAGGCTATACAAAGAGTAGGGGATGTAGACTATACAAAGAGGTGGGGGATGTAGACTGTACAGTGGGGGTGGGGATGTAGACTGTACAGTGGGGGGTGGGGTGTAGACTGTAGACTGTACAGTGGGGGTGGGGATGTAGACTGTACAGTGGGGGTGGGGATGTAGACTGTACAGTGGGGGTGGGGATGTAGACTGTACAGTGGGGGTGGGATGTAGACTATGCAGTGGGGTGGGGATGTAGACTGTACAGTGGGGTGGGGATGTAGACTGTACAGTGGGGGTGGGATGTAGACGTACAGTACAGTGGGGGAATGTAGACTGTACAGTGGGGATGTAGACTGTACAGTGGGGGTGGGGATGTAGACTACAGTGGGGGGTGGGGGATGTAGACTACAGTGGGGGTGGGATGTAGACTGTACAGTGGGGGGGTGGGATGTAGACTGTACAGTGGGGGTGGGATGTAGGCTGTACAGTGGGGTTGGATGTAGGGATGTAGACTACAGTGGGGGTGTGGGATGTAGGGCTGGGTGGGGATGTAGACTGTACAGTGGGGGTGGGATGTAGACTATACAGCCGGGGTGGGATGTTGCCTGTACAGTGGGGGATGTAGACTGTACAGTGGGGGGATGTAGACTATACAGCTGGGGTGGGATGTAGACTATACAGCTGGGGTGGGATGTAGATTCTACAGAGGGGGTGGGATGTGGGGGGGGGGATGTAGACTGTACAGCTGGGGTGGGATGTAAGACTGGGGTGGGGACAGTGACAGGGTGGGATGTTGCCTGTACAGTGGGGGATGTAGACTTTGCAGTGGGGTGGGATGTAGACTGTACAGCTGGGGTGGGATGTAGATTCTACAGAGGGGTTGGGGGTGGGATGTTGCCTGTACAGTGGGATCACAGATGTAGGCCCTGTACTGTGGGGGCTGCATGTTGTTGTATGAGGATAAAGGAACATTTAACCTCAGCCTGGTCACAGCTGAGAGCTGTCCTCGAATTCAGGTCAACATGTAAACAATGGACTTTGTGACACTTGTCACCAGCGTGGGGGAGGGTCATGAAGAGTTCAGATAGGCTGTAAATGTGGTTTCTAGATCATTTCAGGTTATAAAGATACTTACCAATATGAAGAAAATACAAATATTTGCCAGGTTCATTGTGTAACAAATCAACTGTTGAATACTAAGGCTGTGCCTGCCAATGTTCAGATTAGTAAATGAATGTGTACTTCAATTGTGTAGATATAAATATTCGTGTGATGTCAGCTGGGAAACGCAGTTAGCTGTAAACACATTTCTCCCAGATCCTCCATAGATTCAGTTAAAAAATGCCAAATAGCATAACTGAAAACGTTTTTAATACAGTGAAGCAAAGAAATTGAATGTGAAACCCATATTCAACCAGGAATAATATTCTAATGTCTTGCTGTTTTGAATACAGCTTTTTGTGTATGTATTTCAAATGAAAATATCCATAATCGTAGCACTTGGTGTATTTCTAACATTTTGGAATAGTTTGATGAGTCACAGATGCATGCTTGGACTTTGTTGTAGCGATGTGACAATTCAGTATTGTACTGCAATATGATACAATAGGTCTATTTCAAACTAGTGTATCGCAATACATATGATTCATTCCATTACTATATTGATGTAAAATTGTGAATAATAACAGAAACTAAAAGAATTAATTTATGCAGATTCTCTAGTAATGCCTGGTTGGCTGTAAATAATATAAAGTGTACACTGCCCCCCAAGCATATATGTCTCACCCCTACCATGTCCGACCTCAGTGTTTTGGAAATTCACAGGCAAATTATGTAGGGTTGTGATTCACCTGCCAAAAAGGAGAGACTATGGACTATGGAATACCAATTGTATTGCACAAATGTCATCAGGATATTATCATAACCTGCCTTCATTGTATCGTTATGCCTCTAATATTTTGATAGTGAAGTCATGTTTTGGTGTTATAGTAAAACTATGACCTTTTACAAGTCAGTGAATGGCTTTTGCCATACATTTATCCATTGTGGAATCCTTTCCTTTGTATTTCTTATATAAATGCACAAATGGGCTACATCCTTTTATATGATACACGTGAAGATCCGGGTTAGAATTGATCTTCAGCAACCCATGCTGGTGACGAACGGGATTGGGTGATCAGACTCGCTGACTTGGTTGACACATCATCGTATCCCAATTGCGCAGATCGATGCTCATGCTGTTGGTCACTGGATTGTCTGGTCCAGACTCAATTATTTACAGACCATTGCCATAAAGCTCAACTATTGCTGAGTGCGGCGTTAAACACAAACCAACCAACCAACCTTGTATATGACAAATATCAGCTAGGTTACAGCTTGACTTCAAACACAAAGTGAACAAAGCTTGTTTGCACCATCGCGTCAAGTGCTTAGTGTTAGCATGGCTACCTGTAGTAATATCTCCACACCATGTTTCCGGTGTTTCCTGCTGTGTCAGTGTGCACTGTTTATGTGCACTGTTTTTTGTCATGATGCTTGTTTAAATATTCAAATTGCCTGTAAAGACCACGGAGCCGCAGGGATCTTCATTGAATTTGCATTCTGGGTTTTGTAGCTGTTAGATCTTATTCATATATGCTCTGAATGTATTTAATTGCGTATTGATCGAGTACATGGCTTGTAATGTTCAACTGTAATGCAACATTGTGTGTAGCTATGGAGAGTTGTGAGAGACTGCCGTGGTGTGCAGGAGATGTTTTCCTTCATGTTATCATTCATGTTAGCATCTAGTGTTCAGCCACATCTCATTATTGATTTTTCTTTTCAGCCTTAGAAAAAATTGCTGAAGAATTCATAGGAAAGGATGCTCTACAACCTGTCCTTGAGCAGTTTAATTGTAAGTATGCTGTCTTAATACTTCTGGCCAGAACAGAAATCTAGATTCATTAACCTAATTGATATAATTCATTAAGCTTTTTAGATTTAATATATGTTGACAGATTGTGTACTGTGCCCCACAGTTATTGATTATGCTGTTATATGTAGATACAAATTGCCTCTCTCATCACATAAACATCAAAAACCAGTTCTTACGCTGTATTATCTGTGATCTAATGTTATGATGGAGTTCAACTACACTCGTTTGCGTTTCTTGTGTCTCAAATAAACTATTTTTCATGGTTAATGGCTCGCTAAAGTGGCTCCAAAATACCTGTTGCCATGGCAACAGCAACAAATGAGATGTCAAGGGAGGTTCCCAAGAGTCGGTGTGGCGCTGACCTAACGTTGGCGTCTAAAACATGGCCACCACATTAGGGACTAATTCAACAGACACCATTGGACAGTCAGTGTTTGATTTGTGACGGAACTGATATGTTTTTCTTATTATCTCATTATCGTTAACTTTGAACATGTTGATGAAGGAGAAGCTGGCTAGGATTTTTGTCCACAGGAACAATGCAAGAACTATTTTTACTTAATACATATATGATGTGTATGAATGTATGAAACAAGTCTCATGTTTGTTTATAAGGATGACTGAGTAAAGATTTCAGGCGTATTATTGTTGGCGGTCTGCTACATCTGTACTCCACTTTTGATGCCGAAGACTTTTATCCGTTATACACGAAAAGATGGGAAGTACAAATATAGTCAAACTTTATGGATAACAACTTCTTTTATTTCATGAGTTGTTATCCATAAAGTTTGTCTTTATTGTACTCCCTAATTGGACTTAAGATGTCACCAGTTAATGTTAATATAGATACTTCATGTGTTGGCGATGTCGATTCGACTAGTAGTTCAGATATCAGGAACAGTGAGGTGGAAGATTCTTTGATGCTCAGTCATATTTATTGAATGTAAGGTTAGTATACAATGTTAAAAGACCTCTGAATTTAAGAAAGTAGAAAATCCCAACTTTGTGAAAAAACAAAACAGTTGTTTCGCCAATTTGCTTGCCAAGGGCACTTAGAGATCCTAGAGGGGCGGTGGGGTAGCCTAGTGGTTAAAGCGTTGGCTCGTCCTGCCGAAGACCCGGGTTTGAATCCCCACATGGGTAAAATGTGTGAAGCCCATTTCTGGTGTCCCCCGCCGTGGTGTTGCTAAAAGTGGCGTAAAACAAAACTCAGTCAGTCAGTAGATATCCTAGATAAAACCTTTCTGTAATCCATTTGCGAGTCTTATTGCTGGCCTAGCCAAGATTGTTTACATTCTGTTGTGAAGTGTGTGTCTAATACTGCAAATTGTGATAACAATATGATAAAGCTGTATGAGCTATTGCTGGTTGCAGTAGATCAGCTCCATTACCTGCAACTTCCTGAAGTCAGTATTATTTTAAATGAGTCATACTGGTGTAAGTGTTATGCAAATTTGAAATTACATTCACAGCTTTTTCTAGACCCGAGGCTGAAATTCGTCCCTATGTTTGCAACAATTGTCAGTAACAAAATTCAAATTCAAGTATAAAAAGTTTCAGGTTTATATTTTATAAATAGAGGTATGTTTTATCCTGGAAGAAGTGACTTAAAAATAACTGAACATAAAGAAGAAGAGCCTTTAATGTTCAGTGTTACATTGTGCCATGTTGGAATACATCTCAAGAATTGTGCAAATAATGGCCTCCAAAATTGCCTGCCAAGGGCACTTATTTTGAAATCTGAGATAAGTCATTAATGTTTAAATACAATATCTGTAGGAGTCAAGAAATAAACACTCCAGATCACGAACTCGGCTTTGTCCTTTCATGTGAAAGCCTTTGTGATTCATTGTAAAAACTATTAGGCCCATGGCATATTGTCTTTCTCAAGACATTGTAATTCCCTAAATGGGACATATATTTCTGTTTATTTATTTGTGTGTCTGTGTCATAAAATCAACTTTAATGAATCAAGACGACAAACTCACTTCCTTTGTTTATTGAAAAAATGAAGGTTTGACAAGACAGAATTGAAGCTTTCAGTTAATTTACTTCCAATTTCTCTTTTTTCCCTCTTTTCTCCCTCCCCTCTCCCCCTGTCTTCTCTTATCCAAATTCCAGTTGCAATGTAGTGTGCTAAAACGTCAGAGGTTTTGATGAACATAAACATATTTCCGTGACGTAGTACCCATGAAATCATAGCAACACAGATACGCAGCTGATCCCTGTTTACAAGAGCTGTCATAGCCGAGAAATGTCTATAAATGGCAATGTTTCGGTGCCATAGCTATTCAAAGTTTAGAAGAAAAATGAACTGACATACTTAGATTTGTTATTGATTTATTTCTCAAAAATTGACTTGCACATGGTGCACTTTTGACTAATAACTAGGTTGCACTTTGTGATATTGAGTTGCACCAGTGCAAGTAACAAAGCACTAAATCGAGCCCTGGATATGTACCCCAGGTACGTTTCTGTATACAGAAATGTACCCTACACAAAGTCAAAATACAGAAACATACCCGGTACCCTAAATTGGGGACGAGTCCATATTCCCCAACACGAAACCGAAACCTTAGGTAGTTGTTCCTGTTCAACTGATTGTGAGAGGTCTTGTCCATCGCAAAATATTCGTTATTGTGTATACTGTTTCTTATATTACACAATCTGATGCATCGGATGCAACAGTATGACAATTCCAATCAAAATGGCACAATGCTGAATGGACTCAATGTAGGGTACGCTTTCTGATTTTGGCAAGGGTACTTTTCCAGAAATGTACCTGGGGTACATATCTGTAGTAATGTACCGACAACCCATTTAGCATAAGCTTGCTGTTTACAGATCTTAGTCTGTTTTAGTATTAAAATGGCTTAATGCCTTCTTCAACATTTTTTTGTTTTATGAAAACCTGATAACTTTAGCACTCCGGTTCAACAAACATATCAGTCAGCATGATCTGCGTTAGCTGAGAGAATATCTAATATAGATCTTATAGGCTGTATCTGTAGTCTAAAGTTTGCCAGGGGCTGTAGGGTAGCCTAGTGGTTAAAGCGTTCGCTCGTCACGCCGAAGGACCCGGTTCGATTCCCCACATGGGTACAATTTGTGAAGCCCATTTCTGGTGTCCCCCGCCGTGATATTGCTGGAATATTGCTAAAAACGGCGTAAAACCATACTCAGTCAGTGTAATGTTGCCCTGCAGTGAGTGAATTGTGTTTCTAGTGTTCATTGCACACACTACAAGTCATAAATTGATAATCTTTTCACTCTCCTCAAATGTCGCCCACAGATCAGATTTGAGCCATTTGTTATCTTATGTCCTCTCGCTGCTTGATAAAGGTCAAATGTTTTTCTACCTGAAATTTCAGATTAGAATTGGCCTTAACAAACTGAAAGCTGTAAGATGTAACTTAATGGATCGATGATCTTGGCTTTGTGACTAAGGTGATCGAGTGTCACTGTGCCCGAATGGAATGGCTCAGTATATCAGGGATTAGATTGTCTTGCCAAAGCTTGGTTATTTCCATCATAATGCTGTGAGTGGGTACAACAACAGCCAGGATCCATTGACTCCCCTCGATTACAAGTCCCATCTCTTGTTAGACAACACACTGCCCTATCATGCCTGTATGTAGTCCTCAGCTGACCTGTGATGCGTCTCCTTGCAGGTCTTGAGCCAGAAGAGATTTCTGACTGGGTTCCAGAAGAAGAATGTTTTTACTGTGACGGCAAGCTGCCGTTGATTGACGTAAGTAGACAAGTTGCTTCTGTGATTAATGTCACAGTTATACCTATACAGAGAGATTTACAACGGGGTTGTATTTAGACACATACATTATGTTTTACCTTCTTGACATGACATTAGGGGTGAAACGGTACGCTCTTACCACAGTACGGTACGTATTGCAGTACAAGGCCTTCAGTTCAGTCTGTTTCGGTTCGGTATATGAGAACTTACTTCCGGGAAGATAGCGGCCATCTAGCAAAGGGTTTGACAAAATGATTCGATTTCTAGACATTTTAGAAAAGGTTTAAATAGGTTAATAAATGACGGTACGAAAACCGAAAATACTGAATGTTTGGATTGCATTATGGTATACCAAACCAAAGGCAAAATACTGCAGTTCTACTAATACTGCGGTATACCGTTTTCACCCCTCAATGATATTAGGACTCATTTATAGTGATCCATTGTCTTTTAAACCAAACAGAATCAGTTACAACAGATGCAGAGACTGATAGCTCCATGTTTAAGGTGACCCTTTGTATACACCTTCATAATTAATGCAAATTTATATACCCTGGCTGTCAAGTGACCCTCAATGAAAGACATCAGCAGTGCTTATGCAATCCCTATTTTTGCTATAAACACATCTTTGTCTTCTGTTGTTTATTATATGATGCTTGATCGAGTAGAAATTGAGTGAATAGCGTTATTTGATGTGTTGAAACAGGTGCAACACCAAATTGGTAACAGTTAAAAAATCTGTTCATTTAAGAACTGAATGAAGAGAGTCTATTTCCTGCAATTTAATCGCCAGCTATGTAAGTTTCAATTGACCAGACTTAGTTTTTTTAACTATGAGAGTGTTTATTTAACAGTCTTCCATACACACCTTTTCCAATGCTTGCTAATGGATGAAAAAACAAAGGGAATTGATTTCAGGTTCATATCACCTGTTTGATCTCATGGGCAAATGACCTCATTAGTTACGGAAATGTAATTTCAATATTAGTTAAAGTTTATGCTACTTGTAATTTATTTGAAGAAATTAGAAATGTATTTATTGCAATGGTGTGATGATTTAAACCAAATATATATGTAAAATTAACTGCTAGGCCAAATTGTATTGGAAAACTGCAGCTGATACCACTAAGGTTTACTCAGCTGGCTGGGCAATTGTAGTTGACGTGACGCTCATTTTAATTTTATATACAATGGATGCTTACATATCTTGGAACAGTTATTTCAAACAAAATGTGAAGTTTTACTGTCTAACGTCATAGTGGCTATTGATTGCTGGTCAACATGGCCAGTCCCAATATAATGTGATATCTTCTAGTCCATGCTTAAGGAACTGCCCCTCTCTTCAAAACTCTAGTTCTTAGTGTAAAAAAGAGAAGAGCCTCATTAGCAACAATAAGTGGTATTGAGTGGCATTGACATTTCATGTTAACACATCACCATATGTTTAGCAGTGGGGTAGCTTTGTGGTTAAAGCGTTCACTCGTCACGCAGAACACCTGGGTTATATTCCCCACACGGGTACAATGTGTGAAGCCCATTTCTGGTGTCCCCCACCATGATATTGCTGGAATATTGCTTAAAGCAGCGTAAAACGAAACTCATTCAATGTTTTGCTGTTCTTTGTCTGCCTACCCGTGAAGGTCTGGTTTGGAATGAGCCTTCAGTGACCCATACTTGTCGTAAGAGGCGACTAACGGGATCAGGCGGTCAGACTCGCTGGTTTGGTTGACATATGTCATCGGTTCCCAATAGCGCAGATCGATGCTCATGCTGTTGATCACTGGATTGTCTGGTCCAGACTTGATTATTTATAGACCACCGCCATATAGCTGGAATATTGCTGAGTGTGGTGTAAAACTAAACTCTCACTCACTCACTCACTCACTCACTCACTCACTCACTCTTTGTCTGCCTCCGCATGTGGGCACCACTTGTAAGACTTATCTTATGTTTGTTGCAGGATGTGGTCAGTAAGTTGGCAGAAGACGTCAAGAATGGACGATCAGAACAGGACAACCCTAGTGAGTACTTATGAACTTACCTTTTGAGTCTTTGACTATCTTTGTCAAGAAAAAAGCCAAATATCTTCCATGTTCATTTACAAGATTATTTGAAAATGTGTTGTATGTTGACCATCACTGAGGTATGTATGTCTCTCTTGTCTGCAGTGTGTGAAAATAGTTTCCAAATTTTGCTAGCCAGTCAGGCTAGCCATGCCTGAAAGTTACTAGCCCGCAAAATTATTCACTAGCCCATAATTTGAATGTAGACATTAAGCAAGAGATTACAAAAATAGATGAAAATAAGATATTGTCGGAATGACACGGGTTTGATCATTAAGCTCTTAACATGATGAATATTTTTATCAGGCCATAATCTTGCGATGATTTATAAGTGTATTATTAATTAACAAGTCGGAGAGAGTGATGTATTTACAAAATGACACCATGAATATTCACTAGCCAGTTGGGCCAGTGACTGTAGAGATTTACTGGCCCAACTGGATTTGTACTAACCACGGGCTAGGATGCCAGTGGCTATTTCGCACACTGCTTGTCTATCAAGTGTTTGTTTGCCATAACAATCTAACCCTCTGTCTGTCCGTCTGTGTCAGGTGTCCGCCTGCTGCAGGAGCTCCTGCCGTACTGCCCTCAGTTCTATACACATGGACTAGGCAGAGATCGCCTTGACGCTTCTGTGGGGAGTAAGCAGACTCAAGCTGCGCCGGAGGACAGCGAGGTTTCAGTGCCGTCTGCTAAACCTCACGTAGAGCTGAAGATACCACACATTCCAATCCAAGCCAGGTAATCTACTGCTGATTCAGGTTTTAGTTGAGCTTTGTGTGTTTTCTCAAATTTAAGCTACTGATTTTTATATATATATATCAAAAGCATGAAGTTCAGAAAATCAATAGCTTACATTTGAACCTTCAAATACATATTTACCCAGGGAAAATTTTTCTCTGTGGCAAGATGGTCTTAAATGTATAAAAAAAAATATGTGAAAGGTGAAGGTTACTGTTAGTCAAAATATGAAGCCATGTTTCAAATCTCTTAAAATTTTGGAATAGTCCATCAAAAGTCTAACCATTATGCAATCATGGATGCAGTTCGTAGGACTTTCTGTTTTAAAGTTTTCCTGCTTTGGCCAGATGTATCCCAAACCAGAAATGCTAGTAACTTTGTTTATAAGGTAGCTAGAAACAGCTACTCTTCTTTTTCAGATTGTACTTTATTGGAATGTGTATGGTTGAGGCAAAATAGTTCATTATGCATCCTTCTGATGTGAAAGTGTATGGGCTTTCTGGAAAAGTTGGGATTGGGCTGCTTCTAACTTTGAAATAGACAGTTTAATTGTCTAGTTTATCAGTACTGTGAAGTCTTAAGGCCTGTTGATTAGGTTTTGCAAATGTTATTGTCTGGATTTCATGGTTCAAGTCAGATTGTTCAAGATTTCATTGTGGACTATAGTTTCCGGACCCAAAATAACAGACTTTTGGTATGTTTCAGCAAACACAAAAAAGACTGCACTGTGAACGGTAAGAAGTCGTACACAGATGACGAATTAACAGCGGCTGTTCATGACATCCGCAGCGGGAAGCTTGGTACGCGGAGAGCAGCGATGTTGTATGGAATCCCACGATCCACATTGAGGAACAAGATCTTCAAGCTGGAGAGTGAGGATGCTCTTCAGCCTGAAATGGAGCAGGAAGATTCAAGTTCTGCCGAGGATCTCCTGAGTCTGGAGGGACACAGCATGAAGCTGGCAGATCTAATGCAGGCCAGCGCCTTCACCTACACACTGCCTCCTCTCCCATTCGCACTGCCCTTCAGAAAAGACTTTGACCTTGAGGAACAAGAGGAGGAATTTGTAAGAAGGGTTGAATTACTCCGTCGTAAACATAACCTTGATGGATCTCATGATAACTTACGAACTCCTGCACATGCCAACGAACTGAAAATGCCTCTTTTGGTGGACTTGATTCGTAGAATGGTAGAACAACGACTAGCTATGGAGCGCGCCAAAGTGCCTCAGTCACCATAAAAGCAGAGCCTGATGTTTGTGTAGAAAATTCTCTAATTGATGGATTAACCATGAAGAACCCATTTCTGCCATCCTCCCTCCCTTCGACCGCCACGTGCCTCGGCATGACAGCTGCAAGTCTGGCTGACATCCGCATTCCGTCCTACAAGCCGGGTAATGGCACCAAGGACCACCACCACCACCACCACCACCACACCTTGCCAGACAAACCTATGGCCAAGGTTTACGAAAGCAGCACGATAGGCGAAACACTCAAGAATATCATTGTTAAATCTATCAATGAGAAAATCCGTTTTCGTGAAACTCGTGAAGATAGTTCTGGGACAGCAACTCCAGATGACCTCTACAAGATGAGCCCTGAGGATATAAGCTCTCATGCCAGCATCCCAACCACGCTGGCCACGCCCCACTCTTATGCTTCGTCACACTCTTCTCCGTCACCACCAAAACGACACAAGAAGGATTCAGACAAGGACAAAAATTACATGTCATCGTCAACTTTGAAGAAGACGAGGCCAAAACGAGGTCAGTATCGCAAGTACAACAGTCAGTTGTTGATGGAGGCTGTGCGTGCGGTGCAGCGCGGGGAGATGAGCGTCCATCGAGCTGGCAGCTACTTTGGGGTGCCTCACTCCACGCTGGAGTACAAGGTGAAGGAGAGACACCTCCTTCGTAGAAAAAGCCACGGGAAACAACTTCGAGCCAAAAGCAAACAGCAGCCGTCACCTCCACATCATCATCGACCGTAACTTCATCCACAGCAACAGCCGCAGTTAGCACAGCCTCTGACAGTAATTCTTCAAACAGCAGCATCACATCTGCCTCAACATCAACAACAACAGCAGCAGCAGCAGCAGCCAAATCGGAGAGTGCCCCACTCAGTGCCTTAGGGCTGGGAGCCCCTAAGCAGAGTAGCAGCGGATTGCCTTGGTTCCAGCCCTACCTTAACGGCAGCCCCCACTTCGACCCCGCCATGGGCTTTTTCCACTCTGGTTTTGCTCTCAACACCCCTGCCTCTGAGCTTCTGCTCAAGCTGCAACACAAGGTGCAGAGTAAGTCCGGGACCTTCCCACAAGACAACACATTTGATTTGCCTCGACCTAACGGTGTTGGAACTCTCCATGAGCGGTTCCTCTTGTTCAATTGATGTGATGTATTGTGCAATTATTTCTGTAAATGGTCCTATAATTGTTAGACTTGTTGGTGTTCAAGTTAAGTATGACATTGTCTTAGTGATATTGACAGGTACAACAGTGGACTTGGACAAGAAAACTATCAAATTTATTTTGCTGTTTTGATTATGAAGTCATATATTCTTTATATTTTCAACGGGTTTAGCTTGTAAGTTTCAAGCCTACAGTAGAGTTTCATGGTGACACTGAGGTATATGTATATCAGTGTACATTTCGATCTGATACACAAAAATGCTGCCCTGAGTCCCTAATATGTCATGAATCATGTTCTAGTAGCATGTTTAGCACCTTGTAGTGTCTCCATGTAGTTGACCCATTAGCTCCATCAGTGCTTTGGCTCCATATTGTACAGCCATTAGGCTCCATCAGTGCTTTGGCTCCTTATAGTACAGCCATTAGGCTCATTAGGCTCCATCAGTGCTTTGGCTCCTTATAGTACAGCCATTAGGCTCCATCAGTGCTTTGGCTCCTTATAGTACAGCCATTAGGCTCCATCAGTGCTTTGGCTCCATATAGTACAGCCATTAGGCTCCATCAGTGCTTTGGCTCCTTATAGTACAGCCATTAGGCTCCATCAGTGCTTTGGCTCCATATAGTACAGCCATTAGGCTCCATCAGTGCTTTGGCTCCTTATAGTACAGCCATTAGGCTCCATCAGTGCTTTGGCTCCATATAGCACAGCCATTAGGCTCCATCGGTACTATGGCTCCATATTGTACACTCATTAAATTCCATTAGTGCTTTGGATCCATGGAGTAGACCCTTTGGGCTCCATTAGTACTTTGGCTCCCTGTTGTACATCCAATAGGCTCCAACACCGCTTTGGCTCCCTATCGTATACCCATTGTGTTCCATCATTGCTTTGGTTCCATTCGTAGCCATTTGGCTCCATAATGGAGCCCCTAAATTAGGCTCCATGTATCAGCTCTTGTGGTCTTCATTAGGTAGTAGCTTTTCATAGGCTCCATCATGCTCCCAGGCTCATAGTGTGTTTATCAGCTCCATAGCAAACACCCATGTTTCTGATAAATTCTGAAGTATGAACAAGTCTTCAAGACTTGTGCAGCTTGAGTCAGCGTCTCTCATTGGATATCTAACCAGCCTATCAAATGTGCTGTGGTTACATGACTAGTGCAAGCTTCGTTACACTAGTCGTCAGAGTTTGAAGCAAGTTCTAACTAAATAACACAAAGACATTCACAATGTCAATGTATTCTGTCAGTTTTAGCAAAAACATTTAAATCAGGAAAAGAAACTTTGAGAACTGGTTCAGAATAAATACTAATTAACTTCAAGTTCTGCTAGTCATACAGAATACCATAATTGAATTTCTACTTGACGAGAGCACAATTTATTTCTCTAGTACAAGCATGAAGTTTCATAGGCTTACGCTATGGTATAATATTGACTCAGCAATGTCCAGTCTCTACCTCACAGCGGGCCGGTGGGGTATCCTAGTGGTTAAAGCATTTGCTCGCCACGCTGAAGACCCAGGTTCGATTCCTTACATGGGAACAATGTGTGAAGCCCATTTCTGGTGTCCCTGCTGTGATATTGCTAGAAAACTGCTAAAAGCAACGTAAAACTAAAGTCACTCCTCTACCTTACAGCTGACTCATTGGGTTGCTACTCATGCTATAGAATATGTTCCAGTGTTCAATTACTAGCTGTGCCAGAACTACCTAATTAAAACCATTCATCTTTTGCTAAATCAAGAACAATATTCCAAATACTAGAAGACTCTTGAAACATTCACTGCTGCCTTGCAAGTTTTAACTCCTCATAGTAAAGTTTTGTGAAAGTTGTAAATTTCTGTATTTTGTTGGCCATTGTTCCCAAACTCTTTGTTTTGTTAACATTTTGAGTTTATTTGTTTTCATTCACTGACCCATCCTCTGACCTTTGGCCCTTGTATTTTTAGTCTGATGTCTTCATTTGTCGACCCGGAGGAAGGAACCAAGGGGTAGGTGATGTCGCACGGCGGTAGGGCGGCCATCAGGTATTCACTTCACCCTCCCACTATCACACTGCTCTCATATGCTTACAATATATGCCTTGGTTCTCGTCCTTCCTGTGCCCATATATGGGAATAGCTTGGATGTACGTTGTTTTTGTTCAAAAGGGAGTTTACACTGATATATTATTCAGATCGGTTTGTCCTCGACTTTCAAGACAGTGGATTTCTTTACCTCAAGTTTGTATGTGTGATTTGAATAATTTTGTATGGACGTTTTTTCAGATTCCTATAATTTATTTGTACATTGATTGTTGATTGTTGATATGATGTGACAAACTCGTCAGAATCCGTACAAGGGGCTGTTGGCTGGAGGAATACTGCTTACATGTGGACAGAAGTTTCTAGTTAGCTAAGAGTACTAGAGCATTTCTGATGTTCCACACAGACTTAACATCTCTCCATTCTGAAATGGAAGTTCAACAGAGCTCGAAATCATTGTGTGTCTCAAAGAAGTCATTATTTTGCCTGCTTCAAACCTTTGTAGTTTCATCAAAATTTGAACTTTTATGGAACCGGACTGAATTAGTAGATATTGTTTTAGGTCATGATTTTGTGTGCAGGTCACATCAGTTATTTAAGCTTTTAATGTTGTTGCGGAGTGGGGGATTTAGGATTAATAGTTGGAACAGGGGAAGATGATTTGTATTATCAAATTTCCTCGAGACAAAGGCCCCCGTGCATCCGAGATGACATCCATTCTGACTGTTGACTTGATTCGATGCAAAGACCACACAAGTCTTGGTGTCTTCCATTATGGTAAGATGCTTGGAATTAGTGTGTTGCATTGTTATCGGTCAGCTCTGTAACAATGGTGGTGGTGGGATTCTCTTGTATCTCACACATAATATTCAACTTTTCAACTTTTCTCGGTCTGCCTTTTTCTACAAAGAGTGAGGCAGGTAAATCTGAACTGGTGATCCAGCCCTGACCTGCTCAGGAAATACTCATTTCACACTTTTCTAACAGTACTGTTTAGTTTGGGGAGCCGATTGCACATTGGAAACTGTTGTCGTAGCTACCCGATATACTAATATTCATGTTTTAAGTAGACTAGATCATGTCATCTACCGTCTTTCTGTCCACTAGGAACATCTCTATCTTCTGCAAATGTAACGTTCAACTTGAGCAACTTGAGTGTCTGAACCGTCCTACTGTTTGTACATACTGTCAGCATAATCTTGTTGGTTGCAAGTTACTTCTGTTTTCTGGGAAGTGGTATTGCGTTGTCCTCACTGCCTTGTGTATGTTATGCTTTGTGTTTATATTGATGCTGCACTCTGCTCCTATAAGACGTCATCCACAACCTCAGCTTTGGTAGATGTTACAAAGAAAATACTTCTTGTTCCATTTTGTAACTCGCCCTGGCCTTCTGACACTGCTTCTGAGTAAATAATTTGTCCTTGACCTACTATTGTACACTGGGTTTGAAAATACGTATGTTTATTGAGTTTAAAACAGACTTTGACATTAGAAAGAGAATGGTTATAAAAATTGTATTTCCTTCCAATTTTATGTTGGTAATGTTCTTGTAGGAGGAGATTGTAGCATGACTTGTCCGTCTGCTTCAGAGGCACACCATCCCAGCATGCACCAGTACAGGTTGGCCTCTGAAGCAGATGTAAATGGAAAGAGATTGTCCTATTTTTTCAGATGTTTATATACCTACAGTTCTATATAGAGTGGAAGCTATGTTATATTGTGCATTATTACACAGTGGTGCATGTTGTTATCACATTATATCTAATATGCTCAATTCATGAGATGATTTGATTGGCTCTCAGAGCAGCTCATGCATTTCCAGACTGTTCCAATTGGTGACTCCCCCAGCCAGGCTTGATCAGGCGCTTTAAGTTTATATTGGTTTAATTATAAAATATATTTGTTGACGTAATTGTGATAAATAGATAAGCATATTTGTTTTTAAAATAAGCCCATTTGAATGTTTAGTATTCTGTTAGAAAAAGACCATATCTAAACAAAATTATATTATTTTTTAAACTAGGATCATTTGATTGAAAAAATGGAGGCTAAATCAGAATAAAAGTGAAAGTAGAGTTGGTGTTATTTATAACTGTCAGCTGAGAAACTGTTTTGGATACTCAAAGAGCCTGGCTAGGGGAGCATCTCGTGTTGTGTGGATGGATAGGGTCAAGGGTGCCATACATTTCTCTAGAAAGTGCCTTGGAGTGTGTGTACCTTTAACTGCGGTGGTAGATTAGAGTAGGGATGGTAGAACTACATGCTGCTATGTATCTTGTGTATCCTTACACTGGCAACATACGTCATTCTCAAGGAGCACTTACAGATCAGTCCAACATTGTATTTTATTCGGATATGCACGAAAAAAATAATTAAAGATTGAATACAACTTAATTTTCAGAATCTAACAGTACATTAAGCAAAGATATCTTTGGGATAAATATTTTCAGGGGTAATATTGTATTCAGAAATGTATATGAGTTGAGAGGCTGTCAGTGTTGAACCTTAGAATGGTGGCGTATGTGAGTCAGATGTGAGGACTTGTTGGTGCTCACTCATTCTTCATTGTTGTACATGCATTCAGATTCTGTACTCGCTGTGCACCTGGACGTTCGTGTCCATGACAGTCATTATATAGTCAAGTTTATTGAGATGTGTCACGTGACGATTGTTATTGCCAAACCTGACAGTAAGAATACTTCATGTAGCATTCCAAGTCATTACCAGAAGCCTGGTATAGTCAGAGTGTATTTAACAAACAGTATCTGAACTGTTGTTGGGGATCAGGTAAGAATAATGTTTTCTTGTTTGACATATTGAAATGCCTGCTGTCTTACAAAATGGTTGTATTTGGGTGCTGAATATAATGAAAAAGAATTATTTCTGTTGTAAAACTCTATTGGTGGTTGTGGGGTAGCCTTGTGTTTAAAGCATTCGCTTGTCTTGCCAAGGACCCAGGTTCAATTTAGTACATAAGTGACGCCCACTTGTGAAGTGTACTAATTAAGTTTTGTATTTAAAAAATATAATCATTCCCTACATATATAGCTTTTAAATGTACTGAAAAGTTTAAATTGTTATTGGCTTTCGTGTAGTATGTTTTTATAAGCAAGAGAAAGAGGGTTTGGTGTGCACTTTCGTGCTCCCATTTCTGAAAAGCTGTATACGATCACAGTAGGAAACAGGGCCAGGTGTGAAATATGTCAAACTTGAAAATAGTTGTACCTGTTCATGATAAGTTGCCATCACAGTATCAGGGTACCTTGTCCCTTGTCCATGAAGAACTCGAGTTTTGAAGTACTGATTTTGGAAATCTATTTTATTTATTTTTCTATTTAATAAGTACATACCTACATAAGTTTACATTTTGAATCCAGATACAAATTTGTTTAACTGTGTATGTTTTCTTATCAAGTGTACTTCATTGTGGAAGAGAATTCAGGATTAAAAGGTCACTAGAATTCATTGAATCAATTTTGAACATTATACTGCAAGGGTTTAATAGAAGATGAATGTCATGAGGCCTTTGTGTGAAGGGAAATTCATTCCAGTACTGAAGAACTTTTCAGTGATATGAAAGAAAATATATAAGGGATCATTTTTATATTATTTAGGACTATTTATTTCAAACTTTTCATTTATCTAGATACATATTGTGTATATATGTATGTCCATATTTATTTATATGTATGTCTGTTCTTTCGTATTCATAGTTTTATTATGACCGTAACATTCCTCAGATATGAGCTGATTGTATTGCTTTCCATGTTAGAAGTGCAGTATAATTCCGACATGGCCTTGATCCGGCAACACTGTAGCCATATGTAAGTAGATACGGCTTCTACAGTGTGACTGTAAGAAAGGCCCTGCATCTAGTCAAGCCTCAGGCAATGTATCAGCAAGGTGTACTCCTCAAAATCATTTCTGTTCCACTTCACGAAGTGAAAATATGGTGCATAATATTTGTGATGAATCTCAATGTCCCATTGGCTGTCAATAACCAATATTTAGTCATTGATTGCAAATAATATTTTGATTTTCCATAGTGCTATATGAAATATCTATTAACCAGTATGGCAGTGGTAAAGGGAGATAACTGCTGTGTTCACATCAACAGGGAAAACAGTATATCTTATACATAGATTCATAGGGATAATACTACAGTATCAATGGTCCTGTTATTCATGTATTGTGTGTAAATGATGAAGTAATGGATGCTGTACGAAGAATCATTAAGTGGAAATGAAGTTCATCTCTGAAAGGTTATTTTCTGTGTCCCCAGAATATTTCGACCACTAAAATAATTCAAGGTTTCAAGTTTTTAATAGGAATGTATTTTCTCTCTATGACTAAGTAAGCTGCAAATTGTTCAGGAAGTGGACTGATCAGTGACCATGTTTGTTTTTGTTTTAGTTTATGTGTAAATTAAGCGTTTCACTGTTTCTGTAAATGTATCAAAACTGCAAAGGATCATGGTTTAAATGTCAATATTGTAACAATTTCATTTCTGTGGGGGGAAGATATGTTGATGTTTTATTGTCTTGCAGAGTTAACAGATTTAGGTCAAGGAAAATGTTAAAAATGTCTGTGCCTTGAGACACTAAGTCCATACTGTTCCGGATACAATTGATGAGCCCACTTTCAGTTTCCATTATCGAAGAACATTTTATTGATATTTTTTGTACATATAAATCATTAGAGACTGTTGTCATGATTTGACTTGTATTTTAAAGGGGCTTCTACTTGATCAGTCCAAGAACATGTTCACTAAAAATGTATCACTATCAACATTATATTGTCAATTTTGTGCAATACTTTATTTATTTTATGTTGTCACTATGAATGTTACATCTTTTTTGTTGGAACACTTTATGTTCATGTATTTATTCACACAAAAATGCCATGAATGTTTTGTAATCATTATTTTCCATTTAAGGGCATAATTGTTGTTTTCTTTATGGTAAATAAGATCAAATACTGGTATTTTGAATCAGTAATTATACAAGTTCTTTTTCCCAATAAAAACTTACAAAAATACTACTTCTTTGTTGTTTTGAGGAGTATGAACTACGTTACTGCTCTTTCCAGATGTGAATGTTGGTTTTTGCCAGTCAGTTGGACTCGGTTGTAGAAAAAAACAATTATTACTTGTCATGTCACCATCCTGTTGGGTTCTGGTGACCTGCGCTGAAGACCCGGGTTTGATTCCCCACATGGGTACAATGTGAAGGCCATTTCTGGTGCCCACCAACCGTTATATTACTGGAACATTGCTAATAAACTCACTCACTCTGGTGACCTGCAAAAGGTTTAAAAGTTGGTATACATATACAGAGAAGCCAACCCATACAATTTTATCGTATTCGTTACCGAAACACAACACAAAATACACGACTAAGATGGCAGTAAAAATGTACAAATTTTTCAAAAACTACATTAAATGAAATTATTTATAGCATACACAATAAATTTCAACCACATTTTATTCAGTATCAAGCTATATGTTACTACTGATTTAGGTGACTACAACGTTAATAACAAGTTGTTAGAATAGCTATATATTCTTAGGAAAAGTTAATACTAATTTTGGCATCAGTTTTTGGCCAGAATACTATTTGAGCTAAATTAAGGTTGGCATCTCTGCATATACAATGAAACCATTCAATTGTGGACAACAAATTCATTGATAACTGTCAGAAACTATGTGCCACTTTTGACATGTGGCAACAATATGTACTACTTCGAGCACAAAACATCAACAATCTGCTGTGTTGCAATACATGATAATTGAAAAATGTGGTAAAAGAACTTGAGTGTTGCCAGTGTATATATGAAGCTTTAGGACATTGTTGGTCTTCATTATGAATTAATTGATTGAAGAGAACACTCACTGATGACTGAAGTCTTGAGGTTTGTAATAACCCCCTGACTGAAGGTAACTACCATATTCGTCTTGTTTAGCATCCTTGGCACTTAGCTAATGTAAATCCAAAAGGGGTGCTTATTAATATACTCCCAGGAAAGGGGAGTTTGGGGCACTAAATAGGAAGAGGTTTGAAATCACACAAAATAATCACCAGATATTGCCACACGCGAACACGAACTTACTTCCAGATTAATGCTCACCTCAATGATAATCACAACATCATTCAGTAACAAGATACTAGTAAGTCAAAGTGAGTATAAATTTCAACTCACTCAGTAACGAGAACATTTATGAATTCTGGAAGTGTGTGCATATTTCTAATGGGAAAGTATGTCAAATACAGTATTTTAAAACATTACCATGGAAGCAAAACTTGATCTTATCAGTGAAACATACAATATCTCTTACTTGTGGTAAAAGGGCAGAAATCAACAGGTGCAAGTTGTTGCCCCTCAATGACGCCAGGTATAATCCTTCTACAAGCAGAGACACACTCCTCACAAATGAAAAAAAGGGCATGTTTTCCTTGAGACTTTTATTGTTTGTTTTCTGATATAAGACAGTAAGATCATATATATTTGGTTAAAACTTCATTTGAGACACAAAAAATCCTCTTTGAAATTTGACTCCATCCAAGTAACAGCACCTACATGATATATAAATACGGAAATATTTACAGTAGGAAAGAATGAAGGATGAGAACACTGACAGGACCAGTTGTACATTAATTGAGATGGCCATCAGAGTCCTTGTTGCAGCCGTACAAGGGCCATAACTCTGCTGTGTTTATGGAAACAAGTTGGCATTGTGACAAAGGCTTGTTAATGTCAGTGTCAGTATTCCAGTTCTTGTTGTTTTGATGTAGGTGTTATGTTGTGGTGATGTAAATGAAGTGGTGAATAGTGCCATCTAAATGTCTGAATGGTAAGACTGTCCTGTGTTTGAAATGAAGGGTGAAGGTGGATGAGGTCAGAATCAGATCATGATTTGAATACATTCAAGTTCTTCCATGTGCCAATAACAGATATCAACTAAAACATTAAGATAGGTGAAAAATTATAAAATGATACATACACTGACTATGTACAATAAAACAAAATTGTAAAAGACTTGACATAAAACAACAACACTGATTGCGGGTCAACCATAACATAGAGGTATAGCATCATCAGCAATGTGTTGTCATGACTACATTAGTTGATAAACCATAACATCGTTGAACAGTGTCACCAACCATGGTAGTCATGACAACACATTGCTGGTCAACCATAAGATCCTTGAATAGTGTTGCCAACCATGGTTGTCGTGACAACACATTGCTGGTCAATCATAACATCCTTGAATAGTGTTGCCAACCATGGTCGTCATGACAACACGTTGCTGGTCAACCATAACATCCTTCAATAGTGTCGCCAACCATGGTAGTCATGACAACACATTGCTGGTCAACCATAACGTTTTGATATAGCATGGTAACCATCCACTGTCGTTTTTCTAACGTCAGAATGCTGCCTTTTTGTTGAGCAATCCCATCCTGTTGCCATAGTGATGCTGTTACAGTTGGCGACACGCCACTCTTCTTGTCAATACTGAGATGTACAAACTGTCAACATCATCCAGCTAAATTCCTTGGGATATTTGTAAATCTTCCAAATTACTGTCCAAAATCTTCAGAGTCTGAAAAACATAAGGGAAAAAATATTATTGGTGTGAAATTAGAGTAGTTAGTTACTTAATCAAGTGTAATACCGGTAATTGTTCATATCATTAAAGTGCTCTATTGCAAACTACAATAAATCATTGTTTTAACTTTGTATACAGTGTTCAGTGGGAAATGGTCTCTAATATGAAAGTAGTTCAGTTATATCACATTGCATAGTGAGAGTATTAGCAGTAGGTTTGCTAGCTAGGTACCTTTGAACACATGGGGCATATACACTTCTGGGAAGTGAGCTCCTTATTTCTTGGAATCACGAAACAGTGAATATTCCTCATAATCACCAAAAACAGCAAGGACTAGACCTGTGGGCAAGTTTATCTCAGTGGGCTCGCTGACCAATGGTAAGTTATGAGGTATATAGGTTATGACATGGGACACAGGTGTATAATGACTTCAAGCAGTCTCGTGTAGTTATCTTGCTGCCACTCTCTTAAAAACCCCAAGCAGAATTCAGACTGAGACTGAAGCCTTGTATCAGAAGTATCTTAGCAAAGCTGCTAACAGAATGGGTCTGGACTAGTAAAACATCACATGAATAAAAACTGTAATGCAAAGAATATTCTGGTACTACTTGGGTAGGTATAGTAAACAGAAGCTGGGGGGTTAACCTTGTACCTCGTGTACAGCCCCTAGCTGTCTGGACATAGGAACAAAATAATACTGTAAATATACTGGATAAAATAAGTTAGGGATATTGGTATTTTTATGATTGATCTTTTATCAGTGTGAGAATGAATAAATAGATCATTATTCATAATTTCAAAATTTGCATATATCCCTAACTATTTTTGTCCAGTATATATGAATCCATTTAAACCAGCTGTTGTCCATATCACTCCCATAACAACATGACCGGAGCAGTTAAAATACACTCAGAACGATAACGAGAAGCACATTTCTTCCTGTATTGTGCACATGTGGGTCAAAGACATGGACTCACCTTCTCATTGGCAAGATGTAGCAGGCACACGAAGGCAATGGGGACACTGAGATTCTTGGCTGTGTTGGACGACACCTTCCCTGGTAGTTTGGTGAGCAGTGTCTGGAACGTCCACATTTCATTCATGGCTGATGTTGATGGAGGAGGTTCCATCAGGGTGTGGTCAGGGTGATCTGACGTCTCCTGGAACATTGTCACAGTTTAACACACTGCCAAACTTTTGACGGGATACTCAGACTCTATTTATACATACACTTGAAAGTTTGTTTGTTGTTTAACACCGCACTCAGACATATTCCAGCCTTATGACAGCAGTCTGTAAATAATGAAGTCTCGACTGGACAATACAGTGGTTGAAACAATGAGCATCAATCTGAGCAATGCCATGTTAAATACAGCACTCAGCAATATTCCAGCTGTATGACAATGGACAGTAACAACTGTATGGATCGGACAACTCTCAATGTCATCAATATTGTGGGCAATAACATTCTAACCCATAACTAGCATTGGGGTGACACAATGTATTCTGATATCGTTATGAGTACAAATCATAACATTGTCAAAATATCTAAATTCAAACTTACTACGTGACAAAATGCAGTGTGATCAAACATACAGAAAGCAAAAAAACACTGTTAAGACTGCGGAATTAAGAAGTTGTATATTTCCATCATTACCTCCTGTTTAGATGCGGGTGTTGTCAATAAATTCCACATGGCTCCCTTCAGTTTACGTACATCCAACTTTTTGGCGGTCCTGGCATATGCAATATCAATCTTGGCAACCTGCAAACACCAATATATATTAAGATCCAGCCTCATCTGATTGTTATCATTTTCCTTATCAGTCAGTGTACACCCCAATTCTGATCACTGTAGCCAGTGCAACAGAATGAATGTAGAATGACTAGAATATGTTGTGCCTTATATCAAATACCACGAAACAAACCATGCCATACCTTATAAGGCTGTGAGAGGAGTTTGTCTCCACACAGGGAGGTGGCGTTCAGGCTGTCATTGTACGCCAGACTTGGCTGCGACATGTTGTCCTGGGAGGAAGCATGGCTGTAGTCACCCGCCGTCAAGTTGAAGTCGAACCCACCACCTCCGTCTTCATCATCGTCATCTCCCTGACAGGTGACATAATCCACTGATTAGTAGCTTGCCATAATTCACCTCAGCATTTTTATATTACCATAAGATTCATCTGGTAGAACAATATTTGATTTCTTTAAAAACTCACACCAAGATCAGCACAGAAGTTCTCCCTGTCGTTTTCATTGTTGTAGTCGTAATTGTCGATCTCATCGTCCACGCCAACACTGCTGCCTTGCTGTCGCTTAACCTGCAATGTGACAGAACACACAACATGACATAATTGTTATGTCACACAGAACAAATTTGATGACAGATATCACAGGACATTTAGTAGTCCTGTTTATTGATCTACACTACCCTAACACTAGCCCTGCTACTCATTACACCATACCATGATCTTCGGCTTCAGGAACGGTCGGAACAGCTTGTCAGCATCATAATGCAGATCTTCAGGGAGGGTTGTCTGATCCTTGCTGTATCGACTTAGTGTTGTCTTGGTCAGGGCTGTGGCCTTGGACTTCTTGAAAGCATCTTCTGTGTCAGCATTCTCGTGATAGTTGACACGAAATGCAACTTTCTTTGTCTTGTTTTTCTGACTTTTGTTTAACGTCTTGAATTTGGCATCTACAAGAAACAGACAATATTATGCAGCAAGTCCACATGTTACGAATTATTCTAATATTGTAGTCAAACCAATAATGTAAATGAAGTATCTAGTCCGTTTTCTCGTTATTGATCATATCAGTAAAATACAATTCACCTGGAACAAGCCATACCATTAGTTCTAACTACAGTAGAACACGGATATAACGAACTCCAAGGGACCACGAAATTTAGTTCGCTATATCCGGTGTTCGTTATTCACTTTTGACCGCCATCTTGGATTGTAGAGATGTAGAATCTACAGCCTGAATTATCTGAAGCTTGGTGTCAAAAGTGATGGCTTTACGTTTGCCTGCCATAGTGACGAGAGTGCACTGAAGACCTGTACACCAGTCAAGCTTTTAAACACGACATGTTTGTTTTGATAAACACGCTAATGACCATCGAACAATGTTGATTCGCCGCCAGCAAGGTTGATGTATACCGCTAAGTGGCTGAGCTGACACTGAGTGAGTTCGCTAATCACGTCGTAGTTGGGCTTGGGGGTAGTAAATCAGTTCGCTATAGCCGTTAATTCGCTACTCACGAGTTCGTTATTCGCGTATAATTTTAATGATATTATAAAGGACTGTTGACGGGACTTTTAAATTTGTTCGCTATATCCGTTTGTACGCTATATCCGTGTTCGTTATATCCGTGTTCTACTGTATGTAATATGAACAGGGAAAACCATTGTTCATATTTGTCAGTTATAACTCGCATTACTGACCTGAGTCAGAATATTGACCTCTGAGCAGTTCTAGATAAATCCCTGTAGCATTAACTATCCACAGTAAACAGGGAGTGCAGGAGCAGCTGCAGTACACAGCATTTCCCCACTTCCAGTTTTTCCAGTGTTTCTTCAAACTTTCAAGGACATCCACACACATATATTCTGTTCCTATTTCAAAGTCAAATCTGAACAAGAATGAGATGGAACCAAAAGAAAAACAGGTGGAAAAGGGCCTGACCTTTAGAGAGACATCCCCTCCTCCAGTGTGAGGGTCCAGCCCAGGTCTGCATCAGAGCCTTGTTGAAGTAGGAGTAGTCAGATGGCTGTGATGCCAGAATCTGCATCAACGTCCCAGAGCTGCCATGGCTGCAGATAAACAAACATAAATAAAAAACAAACCCAGTGCATCTTCACTTCAATTAAGCGAGACACATTTGTGTAGAGCATATACAATGTGATGACCTGACTGCCGATTATACCCAAGTGTGATGAAGCATCAGTGTAAACATTGTTACACTTCAACATTAACAAGAGTTATTGGTTAATAAAAGAAAACAAGTGATGCAATAACAGTCACATCATTGTCAGTACATACATCTGAGGATAATATCATATACAAGATGCAAGACTTACGTGAGATCTTCAAATGCACTCTGAACAAGCATGGCTGCCCGACTGTCTCCGACAACATTTGACCTCTCACCATCATCGTCAAAGCCACCGCCATCTTCATCTACACACAGAAACCACAGATGAGGAAACAATGGCAGACACACTTGTTCAGCAAGGTCTAAGATAACTGTGTTCAAAATGAGTTAATCAACGCTATGGCAGGTCAAGCAGGTGCCCCTTCAACTCTGTTTAGCAAGAAGATAGGCTAAAGTCATCTAGCTCATTTTGACCTCTAGCTCACCTTGAAGTTTATGCTTAGTAGGGGTGACTATTGAGGGGGAAACAACTATTGCGATAACGACAGTCCATTGCAACATACTATTGCGATAACGACAGTCCATTGCAACATACTATTGCGATAACGACAGCCCATTGCAACATACTATTGCGATAACGACAGCCCATTGCAACATACTAGTGCGATAACGACAGTCCATTGCAACATACTATTGACAGTATTGCAACATACTATTGCGATAACGACAGTCCATTGAACTAACTATTGCTATAGTGTTTTTTCCCCTTGAATTGTCTCATTTGAAGTCATTTCACAAATGAATGTATAGTGTATATGAAATAACAAGTTGAAGTAGTTTCAGTCTGTTTTAATAACTGACAAGAAACTTCAAGTAAACAGTTAAAACATAAACTCAATGAAGCTGCAAATCTGCACCCAAACATTCTGTATTTTGCGCTGCACATTTATCAATGGAAGTCAATTACTAAGCTATCAATAGTCACACATACTATCGATGCATAGATAAATTTTCGTTTTTACCATCAATTTATCGCTATTGGAGACTCGACAATTGCAATCCATCGAAATTCAATGCATCGTTACAATCCTAATGCTTAGGATGTCTGCTACTATGAAACTATCACAAGGAAAGACAATAATAATAGCTATCAACATTCAGCTTTGTATAAACATCAACCATCCAGACATCTATAATATTAATACTTCACATTTCATTACTGAACTTGTTTGATAATGGTGTCAATATCTGCATTGCATTCATTGTAATAAAGAATTCGTACATCATCATTGAATTCTTAACATATTTCACATAACATGTACAGTGGATGTTTCTGACCTTGGCTCTCAAATGATTTTCCATTTATAACATTTACATTATAGCAAGGAATACTTCATTTTCATTCCTAACTGATCAATTATCTGGTCCTACAGAATCAGGCTCTGAATGAGGCTCTTTCTGGACCAAGCACTACTGGTTCTATTGATCCACGTCCTAAAGGTCCTAGTTCTATTGATCCACGTCCAACTGGTCCTAGCTCTATTGATCCATGTCCTACTGGTCCTAGCTCTATTGATCCACGTCCTACTGGTCCTAGCTCTACTGGTCCTAGCTCTATTGATCCATGTCCTACTGGTCCTACCTCTACTAGTTCAGGTTCTATTGATCCACGTCCTACTGGTCCTAGCTCTATTGATCCATGTCCTACTGGTCTTAGCTCTACTGGTTTAGGCTCTATTGATCCACGTCCTACTGGTCCTAGCGCTACTGGATCAGGTTCTATTGATACACGTCCTACTGGTCCTAGCTCTATTGATCCACGTCCTACTGGTCCTAGCTCTATTGATCCACGTCCTACTTGTCCTAGCGCTACTGGTTCAGGTTCTATTGATCCAAGTCCTACTGGTCCTAGCTCTATTGATCCACATCCTACTGGTCCTAGCTCTATTGATCCACGTTCAAATGGTCTTAGCTCTACTGGTTTAGGCTCTATTGATCCACGTCCTACTGGTCCTACCTCTACTAGTTCAGGTTCTATTGATCCACGTCCAACTGGTCTTAGCTCTACTGGTTTAGGCTCTATTGAGCTCTGGTCCTAGCGCTACTGGATTGATCCATGTCCTAGCTATCTCCTATTGATTCACGTTGATCCTACTGGTCCTAGCTCTATTGATCCACGTCCTACTGGTCCTAGCTCTACTGGTTTAGGCTCTACTGATCCACGTCCTAACCTCTATTGATCCACGTTCAATTGGTCCTAGCTCTATTGATCCATGTCCTACTGGTCCTAGCTCTATTGATCCACGTCCTACCTCTATTGATCCATGTCCTACTGGTCCTAGCTCTACTAGTTCAGGTTCTATTGATCCACGTCCTACTGGTCCTAGCTCTATTGATCCATGTCCTACTGGTCTTAGCTCTACTGGTTTAGGCTCTATTGATCCACGTCCTACTGGTCCTAGGCGCTACTGGATCAGGTTCTATTGATACACGTCCTACTGGTCCTAGCTCTATTGATCCACGTCCTACTGGTCCTAGCTCTATTGATCCACGTCCTACTTGTCCTAGCTCTACTGGTTCAGGTTCTATTGATCCAAGTCCTACTGGTCCTAGCTCTATTGATCAACATCCTACTGGTCCTAGCTCTATTGATCCACGTCCTACTGGTCCTAGCTCTATTGATCCACGTCCTACTGGTCCTAGCTCTACTGGTTTAGGCTCTATTGATCCACGTCCTACTCGTCCTAGCTCTACTGATTCACGCCCTACTGGCCCTAGTTCTATTGGTTCTAGCTCTACTGGTCCATGGCCAGCTATCCGGAAAGTGAACTCACTGACCCTCAATCCAGGTATTCAACAGTGGTATATCTTTAGGCAAGTGACTTATGCATCTGTTCACCCATCTGTTTACGTGTATCCAATAAGATGTGACTGCAATATGTTTGTTAACCATCAAGCACTTTGCAGGCAAGTTATATACTCAAGATACAAAGATAAGAATGAAAGTTGACTGGCTACTGTGTTAACTTACTATCACTGCCACCTTCAGCCATGTCGCCAAAATCTGTGTCTGGAGGAAGACTCTGATGATCATCATCGTCAGCATCTGGGAAGATAGGCTCCCTCTCAGCATTCATGTCGAAAGCATGCTCCGATGCTCCTTTACCCAGCATGGAGCTCTGCAACAAGCAACAACCACATTCAAACATGGGTATCTCTGGATCAACACTATAGGTGACATTGACCAGAAAGTTCAGTTTTGCTAAATTAACCCAAAAGTGTCACAATGTATCTAAATCAAAAGTTAGTATACTGTATGTGCAGAGATGAAAATTTCCTACATAAACAAGAAAACAATCAATGTAATAATTATAACATAATGTATAATAAATGTTTCAGAGACAGTGAATTTACTATTTATATTCATAACTTTGAATAGATCTATATATCAACATAAGATGACATCCCTAATCAACACTTACATTCTCTGAATTAACGTGTATGTTTTGAGCCATGCTCATCCTGGCCTACAACTAATCAAGTCTGGACCAGACCAACCAGTGATTGATATTATGAGCAATGTCTCAGGCCCTCACAACACACAATCATGAAAGTTTCTGGTCCTGACAACCAGTTCCATTAAGTCTTACAAGGTCAATATCCAGGGGATCTACTCTCAAGCCTGGGATCCCTACAGGCTGCATCAACACAGAGATTAGAGTAATCAAGGGCTACTCACCATGTCGGAGCCATCCCAATCAGTGAACTGAAACTCTGCATATGGAGCACACACATGCTTACTCTCACAGTCGAGTTTCTCCAACAAATCTGGAAACAAAAACTTTGATTATAAAGACACTGACGTTTTGTAAGAAATGCAATTTCAAAAGCAAAACAGAATAAACGGGTGGAAATAACTTTAAAATTGCTAGTGTACTCCGGTACAGTGGCACATGTAAAATCACTTGCCCTAATAATTTTTCAGCTACACCGGACGATTGTCTTGTTCATTTATTAAATAAACGACATAATTAACATTGGAAAGTCAACTGGACACCAGTACATCGTGATATACCAATTTGCTTGCCTGACAGAAGAAAACACGGGACTGGGACGACGGGCAATGGGTTATTTCCACCCCTGATGAAGCTTCAAAGAAATACCATAGAACAAGGTGCTCTTCTAAGTCAAATATAAGGATTAATATTGCCACTCATGCACTCTTTGTATCAGAAAACTACTAGAATACAATGGATTCATATAAAAGCCAGATTTAATTCCCCTGTCGAATCAAGCAATGTTCTTTCACAAGCAGGTTTTTGAAATAAATATTGATAGAGTACAAACCTTTGAGATCAGTGACATTGAGAGACTTGGGGGTTAACTCTGGGTCCTTGCTGTCCACAACTGACACCAGGGTTGACGAGTCCAGCACCAGCTCCTGACAGTCGTCATAACAATGAAGGTTGTTCAAGATCAATCCACTAGCACCACCCTCGTCAAACGCTGCTGACATAACCTGGAACATCGGATCCACCTGCAACAAAGTTCATTAGGAGTCAAGGTCATTATGAGCTGGACTGACTGAATGAGTATGGTTTTACGCCGTTTTAGCAATATTCCAGCAATATCACGGCGGGGGACACCAGAAATGGGCTTCACAAATTGTACCCATGTGGGGAATCGAACCCGGGCCTTCGGCGTGACCAGCCAACGTTTTAACCACTAGGCTACCCCACGGCCCCTATGAGCTGGACAGTGAAGTAACCTGTTGAACAGATTCCCTACAATATGTGAACAATGGCAGGATAGTTGCTCAGAAGCATGACAGGCAAGATCATTACTCACATGCACGCACACAATGCAGGCAAGAAGACATCCATGCACACATACATGTACAGTAGGTAGAAATGCAAGCTGATTTGAGCACTATTCAAGTGTAGGAGACAGCAGGAATGGACGTTACATGTAGCATGCATGTGTGACAAACAAATGATTAAATCTCCATCAAGATATTACAGGACAAACAATATTCAGACTGTGTTGGCAGGGACAGTGACCCCAACAAATATCTTGCAAGCCAGCCGGGTCAAACGGGCAATGTTTATGGTACCGACAAGAGATCAATGTTCTCCTGATGTAATCGCTATCGTTAGATAACTGTCTACATGTATCTGTTTGCTCACCTCAAATTCCAAGTCAAACTTGTTAACACTGATGTTCTTCAGATTGGTTTCCACTGTCTTACTTTTTCGAACCTGAAACAGAGCACTGATGTGTCCAACATCATAACATCACAGAAAACAACAACTACTCACATAAACACTTTCTTGAAGAAGGATGCCTGGTGAGAGTCTTATCTAAGTTTATTGTCTCATAAGGACCTCTTTCAGGATTCTGAACTAAGAGCCATTGAAAAATAATATTTAGCACAAATTTGGGAAAATTGCATTCAATGTCTTTATTGGTCCTGTGATCAGTAAAATAAAATCCTCTTGACCGAAACATCACCAGAATTATGACTGTTTTTACTAGAGGTGTGACGATACGAAAATGTCACGATATCGATACGTATCGCGATATCTTGGAATGATACGATACGATTCGATTTCGATGCATATCACGATATGCTATCTTTAGTTAGTTTCTTTACAAAAAGTTATATTTTGATAGCAAGTAACAGTGTAAATTTTTATATAACCATCAATTTCTAGTGAACATTAACAATTTTAAAGTCAACGATACATATTACGATACGGAAAAAAGTATCGATATATTTATCGTCAGATAAAGTATCATGATTATCGATTACTACGATGTATCGTCACAGCTCTAGTTTTTACATTAATTGGAAAAGATTTCATTCCTATTTGGAAATTATCACCGACAATAGCTACACAGGGCCAGACATCAGCCTCTGAGCACATTTACATATAGCCCTGCTGAGTTAACAAACTTGTAAGTAGTATATGATGTCGCTCAAGTAATGGTGAATGAATCCTTTATAGGTCAGCATTGTTTTATCAAAACAAATAGTGAAAAGCTAGAAAGTTCTAAAAAAAACGGTCAGCCACACATTATTTCATTTTTCTCTCCATTTTTCACCTTTTTCTTTTTCTTGAGTTGATCAGGGTTGTCTCCTCCTGTCCCTTCTTCCCCATATTCTCCATCTGCAGCTGGGTTGGGGAAACATCACACAATCAGAACACACATCTCAGAAAACATCATATCACAGGAAATATCAAATCATCCCAGAAAACATCAGTCTGTAATAAACAAAGTAAAGCTTTCCTATAAGAACTCTCTTGATAGAAGACAATTTCCACACAAAGTCCAACAATGTGTGACTGACTAAAGCCTGTGTATCAACAACAAATGTCTCTCCTCCCACATCAGACTGTCCTACGTACCTTCCCCATCCTCAACACTGGGTTTGTTGGCTCCCCGTCCCAGCCCACTCAGCACTTTGTATGCTTCTGCATGGATACAGTCAACACGACCTGCGTAGATCTTGGCACTGGCATCTAGTGTTGAGCTAGCAATCTGATAGATGAAATCAGAGACTGTAGATTAGACAGCATAGTGCAATGTTGGCCACAAGTCAAACATTGTGCCTAGTAAGTTCAACTAATAACACTCCATGTAATAGCACTAAAATCTTGGGCTGGAGAACTCAAACATTTAGGATAACCGACAGCAGCATGACAGATTGACACAATACATGATGACAAAGGATACTGAAAAAACAATTTGATTGACACAGGTACAGAGTTGGTTGGTTTGTTGTTTAACGCAGCACTCAGTAATATTCCAGCTATATGGCAGCGGTCTGTAAATGATTGAGTCTGGATCAGGCAATCCAGTGATCAGCATCATGAGCATCGATCAACGCAATTGGGATACAATGACATGTGTCAACCAGGTCAGCGAGTCTGACCACCCGATCCCGTTAATCGCCTCTTATGACAATAGACCGATCCAGTCTGTCAATCAAAACTGACGCATGCGTCAATTTTGGCCAATCAGCAGGCCGGGCGCGCTTTATGGATTTGTCAGACTTATTTCCGGGGGCAAACGATGCCTCCAAAGTGATGTGCTTCGAATTATGCCATTCACACTTGCTATATCTATTACATATTGCTGCGATTGCATGTGTACCTTTAACACAACCATTACGATCAAGACAAAAAATTTGAGGCGGATCAAGTAGTGCGATAGGTCTCGCGATCTGTTAAATGTCGGCAGACATCGTTCACGAAACCAACGTCTGCTCGAGGTGAGAATTTGCACGAATTTCCACACTTTCGCAGACGTGCAGAATCATTACCAATGAATGACAACAAATAGCAGTTTAAGTCTTTGCAAGTGTTATAAACACGGACAATTTTGGTAACTACAAAAATGTTTTTTGCTTAACGTTTTTAGTCAATACTGGGCATTGAGTTGGTACGCCATAAAGCTGAAATGAGACAGGCGAGAAAGCCGTGACACAATGTAAACAAATCTGACAGCGATCTGATTTCGGTTAGGGTCGACCGAAAATAGCAAAATTTGTTACATTAAAGGACAATGTGGTTGATATTGTTGTCTTCGCTCTTAGATATTCTTAAATTTGTCACACATTTTTGGCTGTTTGACAGTTTCACAAGCACAATTTGAAGGCCTACTGACAATATCTCTTAATAGTGCAAAATATTCGAGGAGTAATATTTTTTTATTCAAAAGGAAATATAGTTAGTGTCAGCAGTTGCCCATCCAAATATCAAAATTAATTCAAATGAGTGTCTATAAAACCATGCCTTAAATATTTTAGAATTTCTTTAAAGAGATGGGACCTTGAATTGAATTATACCAATTACTCCGTGTGGATCGGAGACGAAAACTATGTGAGAAGAATAGTGACTTTCTGGAATATTAAACGGAGTGAAAGAAAAGTATATTTCTTAACCATGAGAACATTATTTGTTTTGAATTTTGTTACAACACAATTTTACATTTAGGGGAGGTATATTGGTACATTTTAGGAGTAATAACAGAACTGTCAATTTAATTAATTCACTGGACATGATAGCAGATATGTTTTAAGAATCTTGCGTCCTTTAGTAAACGTGGAAAGGTAATAAAATAAATAATAATCTAATCAATACTAAATAATTACTTAATTGACTGACATATCAGATTCATGTGATTTTAAGGCAGAACTAGGCAAACAAATTATTTATACATATCATGGCAGAACAATCACTTGGTACTAACTAACTTGGACTCTTGCTTTAAATATCTTTGGGTTTTTAATATTATTTACTAATAAAATTATTCACTATATAACATATTTCAACATCCTAGAACGTTTGGTCACACCTGGCATTATTCAGTCTTGAAACAGAACAATCATATATTATTGAATCATATATTTAACCCAGATTTGATGTAATACTTCTTAGAAATCATCAGATTTTGAGGAGGTTACCAATATTTGAAGACTGAGCCAAAGTAGTGTTTATTAAGATGTTGATTTTGGACAAATTGTTCAAGGTTTGTTGATGGTTATTTGGAAAATGAGCTTCATATTAAATTGCACACTGGTTTGAAGGAGGTGAAAGCTTCTGGACATTTTCATGTCTGTTTTCCTAAACATTTCTTATGACTTTTATCAAATTTTGAAACAACTTTAATATATTTTTTGGACACTGTTAAGTATCCCAGAAAAGGAAATAGATCAAAATCAGTGTTATGTCCCTTAGGGATATGGTCTCAGATGTAATAAAACAAAGAGTATCATTGTTTAAGAAACAATAATGTCAATATGTAATTTTATTGACAAAAAGCTTTGAACATAGGATATATTCTTTGTGCCTTATTTACATTAGTAGTTAGCAGTTAAATATCTCTGATGAAAAGGCAGTATATTTGTATTTTGTGTAACATTCTATTTCAATCCTAGTTAATTGTTTGGATAACTGTGGATCCTCTGTTCAAAGATTTTGCATCACAGGTTTCCTATTTCTGGAAGATGGGTCAGTGTACAGGTGAAAGACTGTATCCTGGATCTTCTTTGTGTTCTGGTGCTGTAACGTACCTGTACATAAATTTTATGCTGGCAGTTCATGAAGTCCAGTATTATGGAAGTTTGTAAATTAAGTTTCTACAACAAAGTACACATAGAAAAAACATTGGAAAGGATTTCCTTATATTCAGTGTCATTCCAGGATGGTGTACAGATTTTGAAGAGGGAAATTTTACTGAGAATTGCTGCAGATTAGCTGCTGAATATTTGCGTCTTGGTACGTCAGATACATCCATGGAAACATAATGTTTACAAGCCCAATCCCCCTTTCCAGATTCCCCCAAAAGATCAAATACCGGTATAGGTTATGCTGTGATTGATTTGTTTACATTAATATATACAGACAAATAAGGTGCACGAAGTAGTAGACAGGAAATATTTTTCTGCTTTGTTCATTAAAAGGTAGAAACCCATGTTTTCACATTATTGATGTAACTAAATTTGAACAACGGATAAATGAATACACGCGCACTGTTGACAATCTATTTATAGATACCGAAACAATCTGCAACTTGAACATGTGGCGCTGTGTTCAAGAATTTTCTAAAATAACGATGGGAATGTTTGAGAAAAACAAACAAATAACATAACTCAGTTACTCCTCCCTTGCTAATATCTTATATTTAGACGGACGTGAATTGCCAGATAGAGTATTTGGTTCGAAAGAAAATACGCTTCGGGGCAGGAGCAGCAGCTGGCCGAGACGATTTTTCATCGGGAATGTAACTCATTTTCACTCACAAATTGCAATCGGTCAACTAAAATCTATTAAAAATAAAATACGTATAACTTTCCTCTTTAAATATCATTCACAAACGACGGATACCACAAGAGAATTCATCAACAACGTTCACGCGACGTTTCACCGGGCGGTGACGCCATTGTGATTAGTCAGTGGTTGTCCCCCTAACGCCAAAAACGGCGGGCAGGGCTGACTGCGGTCTATTATGTGATTAGTCAGTGGTTCTCCCCACTAATTTTTATCAATATCAAAAAACCATTTGAGAGCTCTGGTGTTCGGGAGAAAGACTTATCTGCAAGTTTTCCGGGACTGGATGCCTTGGTTTCTATAATCTGACATGTAGTCAATAAGCTGCAGGCTGAAGGCATTCTTAGCATTAATTTTCTGGAAAACAAATAAAAACATAAAATTAGAAATTGAAAAGTTTAATATAAATTGTATATTTATATACTTATCCTATCTCACGGTATGCACTTCTCTCTCTTGATTCGACACTGAGTGGAACGATGTAAACTTTTTTCCCTAGGCCTCTCTTGTCTATCCGCCCAAGCACTCCATGCTACCCTCATTATAAGACAGCTTCCTAGCTCTCATGCAAAGCATGCGGCATGCACCACTAGCTGCCCACGTGACTATCTCCGAATCATCATTCTCATTCTTGGAGCCACTGGATAATATCCATCTTGGAGAATCTGCATAGCGGGGAGGATGGGCAGGAATCCGTCACGTGAGATATTCACGGTATTCACTTATCCCACGGTCGGACGGCGGGACGCAGATACCCTGTGTCTTGACAGTGCAAGCAGCAGGAACTGTGTAGACTGGAAACGACCGTAGATAGCGATGCACAAGGGAGGCCTGTTATGCATGTATGCAACTCCTATGCTTGTGCTGAGTTCTCTTGAACTCATTGGCTTACTAAGCACAATGTCTCCCAGGGAGATGGGTGCTCCCGAGCCATGTGGTGTTCGGCCGCAACCTCCGAAGAACGCAGCTCAGCAAGAAAGGATGTCACTTCGCCACGATTTTCAAGGTACCCCAGTAAATTAAAGTCGGTAGACAATAATCGGACCAGTCCCTTCTTTGAAAAGACCCCCACAGACACCGCTTGACTGAGGTCTCGAAGGTAGTGCAAGGAGAAGACCGAGTCGGATCGCCAGAAGCATCCTTCCATAATGGCGTGGAGAGAGCAGTTACTATGCAGAGCCATCATAGACGCTAACGCCTGTGTCTCATGTGGATTGGAAGCTGTCGGGGCCAGTAACCCAGCAAAGGTGTAAGCCCGTAGGATGGTGGCTCTCATCCAGAAGGATAAAGTTATGCCAGACACTTCCACCCTGGATGTTGAGGACAACGGAATGAAGAGGCGCTTGCGGAGACGGCGGCGATCTTTAGAAGCAGCAAGAAAAATCTTCAAAGCCCTAACAGGGCAAAGCTGCAGGTCGTCATTGTCATGCGGCCCAAGGATCGTGGACAATGGTGGGATGGTAAAAGTACGATCGGGTTGTCCCGGCAACTGATTCTTCGCTACAAAATCCCAACAGAGACCGATGAAGACTTTGCCATGTTTCTTCCGTTCAAACTGGACTCCGTTAACGTCCAAAGCGTTGAATTCAGAAATCTGAGCAGCTGTAGCCAAGGCCACAAGGAAGAAGGTCATCATAAAGTGAGCGGGTGGATGTCCGATGTGCAGAAGTGATGGCCATAGCCCCTTTCCTCGAATACCCCTTGGCGATTAAGGACTTCTGCATATGCGCCAAAAGTGCAGAGACAGGGTGTGAAGTGATACATGACGCCGATCCGAATGAGGGTGTAACAGTAGGTCGTCAGGTGCGACCAAAATCAGTAGAATCTGCCTGGTCTCACGGAGTTTCTGGATGACTCTGGGTAGAAGAGCCGGAGGGGGGAAAGGCGTAAGCGTTGAGTCCCTCCCACGAAATTGCCAGAGCGTCGAGATCCCACACTAGTTGGTCTGGTATCGGCGAGACAAACTGCGGGAGCTGATGGTGGAACCGTGTGGCGAATATGTCGACTTGGGGCCTTGATAACGGGAAGACCAGTTCCCGAAAGATCTGTGGGTTCAATTGCCACTCCCTGGGAGACGGCAGATCGGAGCGGGGCAGCGTATCTGCGATGACATTCCCGACTCCAGGAATGTGTCTGGCTCGAGGATCGATGAGATGGAAGAACCGAAACGCAAACTGAAGAAGGTTCTACCCGAGATGGTTGATGTACCAGACGACTGAATTCGTTGATGTGCAAGTCCCGCTCTGCGGACGACCATAGCCCGGCTGTCTGATGATGAAAAAAATTAGCCCCCGCCCAACCTTTGAGCGATGCGTCGACGAACAAGTGATGCGTTGGAATGCGTTCTGTTCGCCACCACTGAAGAAAAGGACGTAAGGGTTCGGGAAGACGAATCAACTCCTGTAGATTCTCTGAGACGAGATATGGACGCAGGAATGTGTGCTGCAACGGATGCAGTTGCAATTGTCCCCGCCATGTCAATACCTGTGCCGATGTCAAGAGGCACAACAGTTCCTGCCACTGTCATAAGGTCTTGGCCTGCGGAACTAGCTGTTGAATCTTCAACCACCTGTCTTGGGGGGCGAAATCAGGCCCTGGTGCGTGTTGAAAGTTGCTCCGATGAATTGAAGGATCTGGGTCGGGTGTTAGTTCCGACTTCGCAGCGTTTAACAACCAACCTAGTTGCCGGAGTAGCTTCGTACTGAATTCCAACTGACGTAGAAGAGCGACTGGGTCTCTCTGTGCCTGAATGCAGTCGTCTATGTAACTTTCGAACACGACCCCGTGGAGATGAAGAAACCTGGTGATCGGCTTGGTGATCCTGGTAAATAGCCACGGGGCCGTGGAAATTCCAAAAGGCAGGACGGTCCATTGATAATGGATCCCTTGGAATACGAATTGGAGGAATTTCCGCGAATCCGGATGAATGGGCACATGAAGATAAGCATCTTGAAGGTCTAGGTTGACAAGAAAATCCTCTTTCTTCAGGGTGGTGTGAAGAAGGACGATCGATACCATCCGGAAGTGAGGTGGGCACTGGAGATAGTGGGCATTGAAAAGTTTCATGTTGAAAATGAGTCTTAGTTTTGTGGAGTTTTTCTTGGGAACCAGAAAGATGGGGCAATAGAACCCTGGAGTGCATGGCGCCGGACCGAGAGACTGACTGCACATTTCTCTATGAGCGTACCTATAGTGGAGTGAAGAACCTGGACCTGGTCTGCCGGGTAGCTGCGGTGTACTGGATGCACTGTCAGTGGCGGACGTCCGATGACTGGAAGGTGATAGCCTGTGGCGAGGAGGTCGGTCACGAAAGGATCGTCGAGTATGGTCCAGTTGGGAGCGAACCTCCCTAGTCTCCCGCCCACTGGAGAGTCATAAATGGGGACGGCTGGATGCGGGAGTTCCCAGTCGTGCCCTTGTTTCGACAAGTCACTGCTTGGGGGCCCCACTCCCAACCTGGGAGTCGGACTTGGGAGGACGTCGGGAAGAAGTGCCAGGGAGGACCTGCTACCTCTAGCTCGGCACGAATGGCCACGAAAACCCTGACACAGTTCTGGATGAGACGGCACAAACCGTGGAGGCCTTCTCTGTATCATGGAAAGTTGCAGATGAGACTTCTGGAGTTTCAATAATTCCACCGAAACTTGAAATTGAGTGTCCCGATCCACCTTCGTCGAAACTTCACCAATCATGCCATTAAACAAGGATTCTGCATACCACGGTTGACGGAAGAGTTCAGCCTTAAACCTGTCATCCCATGAAGACAAATTGAGTGGGCCGCGACGTCAATCTGCCAGGAGATAGCCAAGGAAATGAGACAGCTAGTCAAGTACGATCTGAAATTGGTCCAGTATAAGGGACGTACAGCCTCTGATGTATGCATCCTGATCGGTGAAAGAGTGCTCCACTGATGCCGCAACCGCGTCCACCGCCGAGATGATGCAATTGATCGAGGGTAAGGAACGACGAATAGCTGTGTCCATGTGAGACAGTTCTCTGTCCTCAACTAGAAAAGCTGAACAAGTCATCTTCCCACAAAGTGTTTGGACATCCTCATCCACCGAAGGGGTAGTAGCCAAGCACTGGAAACCATGGGAGTGAGCTGCTGCTAGCGAAAACCTAGGCGAAGACAGATCATCCTTAATCCTTTTAAGGCTTTTAAAGGCATGATCAAAGGACATAGTGAGATGAGCAATACAAGGCCGTGGTGGGAAGGTAATAGATGTCAAGTCTCGTTGTCTCATGGAAAAGGAATGAGATAACTCCTCCGGGTTCTGTGACATAGGGAGGTGTTGTTTCTCCACTATCCAAGCTGAAACTTGAGGTTCATCGACAAAATCCAAACTTCCGAGGAATCCACAACCGAATGTGCTGGAGACGTAGGATCAGGTGGAACACCAGGACTAGGCGCCGTAACGGATGGTCCGAGGGGAGGAGCATTCCCCGTAGAGTGAGCAGCCTGTTGTTGATTCCAAGCAGTAGTAAGAGCACTTAACATCGCATGAGGGTAGCATGGAGTGCTTGGGCGGATGGACAAGAGAGGCCTAGAGAAAAAAGTTTACATCGTTCCACTCAGTGTCGAATCAAGAAAGAGAAGTGCATACCGTGAGATAGGATGAGTTTTAAAATATAATTCTTTTAAACACAGATATATACTGACTATACAAAGTCAATCTCACAAGTATGTTTTTTTAAACCCAAAATATACTATTGTGGGTCTTTGCAATAGAGGCAGACTACTTGTATTGTCACGTGTAGATATGTTTGAGATTAAAACATACAACAGTGTGTTCTACTTGTAAATATTGAGGATCCTAAATTAAGCAGAAAGTGCTTTAAATTTAATACTGAAATGAAAATATCCACACGTCTGTAAGTCTTTCACTGCCTTACAATTACGTCTAACAAAATGTCACCTGTTAACAATTACCACTGATCACTGCCAGTTTGCACCTTTATTTTGTCAGAACTTAGAAGTGATATATCACTGTAATGTTACCATGCTGTGAACATGATGACACACTTATCCAACAGATGGAACAGTCGGACTTCACACACACAAATTAAATTGTGCCGTGGCCTCCAGGGAGTTATTTCATTACACTGACATGCTAGCTATGCATTCAAGGCAACTGTAACCTGACTGTCAAGAGAAAGACATTAGTACATCGCACAGTCAAGTACATTAATAACCAGCAACATTCTAAGTTTCAAATGACAACCTACATTTTCTGTGGAGAGCTTGATGCAGGATGCATAGTGTTCCGAAAGCTGATTATTGGTTAACCCAGAAGGTGGAATTGATCTGCGCCTGGAGAAGAAAACACAAAACTATTCTTCCTATCTGCTGAGAAGCAAGGTGAACTGTGAAAGTTTGATGCATTAGACAAATAATACCTCTTGTATAATCACCACTATCCATTATATGCAACAGGGATGCATCTAGGTTTCCAAACTAAGTGCATTAGGCTGGTAAATTATACTACATATCTATGAAACTTTTCTTTTGGTCCAGTTATCAGTGAAATATGAGTAACCTCTACAAGGACGCAACACAAACAAAATTTCATAACATAAGTTCAAACTGCAAGAACAAGAATTAATCATTATTTATTATTCCTTTATGGAAAATTTCTGAATATCAGCTTCTGAGCAGGTCTAGATACATAAATATATGTATCACAGCGGTGATTAACTTTCTTATCTACTTTGTCAATCAAGAACATATGAATATATGATGTCCTTGAATATATGATGAATCAACCAGAGAAGAAAATTATCTGTCCATGTTATAAAATGCAAATCTGATTTCATTGTTATTCATATTTTCTTTAATAAATATGAAAAGGTGATAACCAATTTCAAGAGATGACCATAGAGAGTAGTTTGAAAAAAGTAGATGATTAACAGTTACTACTGAATATATGGCAGACTTTAATGTTAACTGTTGATGTTTTAACTTGTCACCTATTATCAGATTTTTTGCAATGGAATTGCCATCACGCAATAACCAACTTGATGCATTGTTAGTTCATCAGTCAGAAACCCAGATTCACAGAAGAGCTACTTGATTTGATTCTCAAATGCAATACTCAAATGCACTCAAAAATATTTCAGCCATATGGTGGGTTTCTGAAAACAAACAAAAAGGTCAATCCAGTGATTGACATCATGAGTATCTATTTACACAATTGGCATCCATCAATTAAGTCCAACCAGATCCTGTTATGACAAGTATGGATTGCTGAAGACAAATTATATCCCTGATCTTCACAGGTTGTTATCACGACTAGAGTGGACCTTAAGTCATAGTATCCTCATATCTAACCTGTCAGGGGTGTTTGGACTGGCTAAGTTCCGACGCTGCAGGTCCAAGACACGAGACCTTCGTCTCTCTTTCCTCTCTGCTGTATCATCTCGGTCTCGAGTCAAGAGAGGGGTTGGACTCGACAAGTTGCTGTTCCTGCTGGGGGATGGCGACACGAACTTGGATGACGATGTTGATGGACGTACTATCGGTGTGTTGGTAATAGGGGATAAAACATCTCTTTTGGACATTGTGCTGCAGAGAGAAAGAGCACCCAGATCAGTTTATGTCGAATGATGAATGGTTGTGCTAAAAGTGCTCCCTGTTACAGATTTGTGTGTTTCAGTCCTTTTGGATGAACCGGTTGCCATTCCCTGCATGAAAAGTGCCGTACGCCCCTCAAATGCTGATAATCCCCAAATTCCGAAGAGTGAGCAATCAAATATATCTAACAATTCTAGCATACCTATACGAGATGGAGACTGTCTTAGAATTATTGCCGGTAAGCTGATGCTTCTGATCGACTCTTGTCTAATCTGACAAGACACAAAGCCAGACATTATTGTATTACCAGTATCAGTAGGCTTTCAATATGAAACATCCTTTAGGTACAAATTCAACATATAATGGATACTACTTACGCTGTAATGGTGTAATTCCAAATCAAACGGTTTGTTTGACGATACTATATTGTAATTCTATTTATGCATCATTTAAACGAGCCGCCATCCGTTGATCGCGCACTAAGCGTAATATCGCGAGATCTCGCGGAAGTACTTTAGTTCGGCAAATCGAAAACTTCGTCCAAAAGCCGTCCGAAGAAGACACATCTACAAATGATGAGATAAAGAAAGGCATCCAAGAGGATTTAGCTGCTGTGAATTAATTTTATTACGTTAGTAGTTTTTCAAGGTGGCTAATGCACCTAAGTTTAGTGCCTTTAGATGCATATTGTTTAATGAGTAGGTTCATAATCGTGTTCCGTATCAGAGCAAAACAAACGTACACAAAATTGTTGCGGGAAATACAAACCTTCTCTAAAAGTGTTTATTTGTTCAACATGTCTAACGTTTTGGAAATATTTCCGCCCGTAACCCCCGTATTCTTTTAATCATTATATGCCTAAGAATATACGCCTATGTTTTTTTTATAAACAGTCTATACCTAAACCTAAACCCTAACCCTAAAATCTAACCCCAAACCTAACCCCAAACCCTCGAAATAATCCTAATAAATAGAATACATTTCAAACGGGGGTTACGGGCGGAACTCTTACCAACGTTTGTGTGTTCACAAACACATTAAGACAAGTATTTGAATTCTCAGAATTTTGTGATGATGTAGATGGTTGAGAGCTGTTTTAAAATAGTTGACCAGAACAGAAGGAAAGTAAAATATATTTCATCAGCAGAAACTAGTAATAAATGTCTATGGTTGTAAATATTCATCAGGTGATCCGCCCTTCAAAGCAAAGTTTTATTTATCCAAGACAGTGTCTTTAGTGTCTGTTTGATGAAGATACATGAGTACATAAAACATGATGGAAAGACTTCCGCCCATATCCCCCCTTGAATTTCATTCTAGTCAAATAATATCACCTGAGTATATAATTCCTCATCTGATAAGTGATAAGGATGAGTTTTAACATGTTTCTTTAATTATCTGAACATACTGAAAGACATATCCAACTTCTAAAAAGGCCACTCAAAGACATTTTTCCTCCTTAAAATTTAGGGGGGATACGGGCGGAAGTCTTACCCTTTGGTTTAACGTAACAGCATTCAGTTATTGGCGTCTGCCCAAAATTCCTGTCATTACATCCAAATTGTGTCAAGTGATGCTGTTGATGTAAATGACATGATATTCTGGTCCAAATTTGCTTATATACACATACTAATGTCACAGATGGCACATTGCTGACTGTGCTGTTGGAAACCTTAAGTTAACCTGTTTAATTTTTTCACAGATGTTCCCAAGATTCCACAATGAGTGCTGTAACACCAACCCATCAGAGAGTGCAAGCTGCTCCAAGTTCTGGAATAAATGTAGGTTAGCATGTAGTCTTGGTCACTATCACTGGTTTAACAATTCTTAGAAAAAACATAGATCAAATGATACACATACTTACATAATAACATATGTATCCATACAGAAAGAAAAATGATGTTTTGTAGAAGTATTCAACAGTGACACCAATTTTAGGTAAAAGAAATCTTGTAACATGTTATATTTGGGATTACACTTTCTTAGTAAAGTACAAATTCTAGAACTTTTTGGGGGTTGAGTCCCATCTGGGATTCCAACCCACACCCTTAGAGTCAGGCACCTAATCGCCAGCACACAAAGTTAGCCGCCTAACCCGCTTAGCCACTGTGACTTCACATTTGTGTGCTGGATGGGACTCAAACACCCCCACCCCCACCCACCCCAAAAGACTAGAATTTGTACTTTGCCAAGAAAATGTAATCCCAAATATAACATATGTTACATTTGACCACTTTCTAAAATGGCATTGAGTAATCAAAAGAAATCTTTTATTCTATCTTGATGTACATTTTGAAAATAACAAGTTCAGATCCATCACAGTGACATGGTTGTGACACAGGTTTTCAAGATGCTCTGTCATCATGGTCACTGTGTTCAGTCTGTTATTTTAGGCAGGAAATATACGTCTGTATGAATAGGTTATATTGATCGCTAGTTTAGCAGTGATGCCAGGTGGAGTGTTTCTTGATTTATAGTTCAGAATGGCCACACCGGTGATGTCTGTTTTCTTTCATATAGAAATATGGGTTTCTATGGTGTTTCCTTGGTGATGTAATTGGTCAGTCAATTACCAGAAACACATAAATAATTTTGTTTGGCTTTCAGTTGAACACATAGTCAGATACTTGGGCTGTGTATTACAAATTATAATTGTACAGCAGAGGCACTATTGTGGCCTGTCTTTATGTGAAGTAAACTATGGTTAAAACAAACTATTGTTGATTTTATACAGTTTTATTCGAAATGGTTCAATAAGAATGTATCAGTACATATTGAATTGTACAAAATGTATTAGAAGTAACTAAAGCATTGATTCATCACTGCATCTCTTTCAATGACAGCCATGTTCATGTTGCAGCTGAGTGCAGGACTGAAAAGTAGACTGAAGAGATGTGGGCGATACCATTCTGCTACACCCTCAGCCAAGAAGCCCTGTATTGCAGCTTCTTGGTCTCCCAAAACTCAACGTCCATCAAGTGTTGTTTTGCCAATCACACCACAAGACATTCATCAGGCATTCACATCAAAGGGGGATAATTCAAAGTTATCAAACACACCCAAGCCACCGTCATGTTCAAGAAGAATGAGGACATCTTTGTCTTTCAAGTCACCTGTCATGAAAACCATGAGCTATGGTCCTGGTACTGGACCAGCAGAGGGCATCGGTGCAGCAGTGACTCCCCAGGGAAGTGAGACGAGCGGCGATGAATGTTGTAGTGGAATGGATCCAAGTACTCCATTGTCATCCAAACACAAAAGATTATCACAGACTGGCAACAAAAACAGATTGAAATTCTCAAGTGATCTTGATAAGGTCGATCAGCAGTCTGCAGATTGTCATGATCAGACAGATCTACATTCAGTTCATAATGATGACAAGGCAGGTCTACAGTCTGTAGCTTGCAGTGACGATAGTGTTCAACAGTCTGTAGCCTGCTGTGACAAAGCCAGTATACAATCTATAGCTTGTAGTCACAAGAGTGTTCAACAGTCTGTAATTTGCCGTGACAAAACCAGTCTACGGTCTGTAGGCCGTAGTGACATGGCCACAATGAGGAGGGAGAAGAGAGACCTCACGCTACATCTGACAGCAGTGGAGGAGAAACTAAGGAAACTGAACATGGTCAAGATGTACAGGTCAAAGGTGAGAGACACATCGTATATCTACAACCAGATGTTAGTCACATGGGTTAGTGATAAATAGGATACAGGTGACTACTCTCACACATCATTATTTTACTTATCTGTTTTAATATTATCAGTGAAACTTTGATGTGGATATGAGATATTAATGTAGAAAGCCACCTGATACTCTGGCAGGTGGCTGTGATGTGGTTTAGATAACGGCTTCATCTAAGGTTGTTTTAGCTACAACAGTGGTGTTGGTTTGAATCCTAGCTTTGCTATAATAATTCTTGTTCCATCATCACTAACATGATTGTTAGATTCACCAAGGTTTCAAAGGTCCATACCATGTGTCCTTTTAGGCTTTAATACACTTTAATGTTGTTTGATGATCATCATGTTATTGATTCTCCCTCGCTCACTCTGTTCCAGAACAACTTGCAGCAGCTGCAGAGCCTGATAGACAAATGGCGCGGAGTTACACAACAGGCGTTGTCAGATCTACACAACATGTTGCCACAGCCACGCCCATCATTGCCAGACTTTGTCAAACACTTACAGATCGACACCGATCTTGTTGAGCTTGATTTGGAAGTGGACAGTGAGGACTGAAGACTGTGTTGGCAACAGGAAGTCCAAGCATTTGTGATATGAACTTCAGTGTCATATAGACTTTAGTGTGGTACAACCCCAGATGTTGTGATATAAACTTGACACAGTGAAGAAAACTTCAAACATCGCCAAACAAACCCTACAGTGTCACAAAATGTTGGACAAGACACAGTGATTTGGATCAGACTGACACAAGCATTTGTGATAAAAACTACTTGTTGCACTAACTCTAGGCAGTGTAATACAAAATAGTAGTTGAACAAGACACTCATACAGGGCTCATCATACTGATATATTTGAAACTGTTGTCATGTGAATACAGAAGTTATTGCAACCTTTTGTTTGTGTTCATGTAACAGTCTTTAACTATAACCACTTGTCTAATGTCCAGCACTAGTAAAATTCTGTTTAATCTATTAGACTCAGCATAAAGGTCACACTACAAATGACAAGAAATGAAATAACGTGCCAGGTTCAAGCAAGAGGAATATAATGGTGTAGCCTGATATCCTGGTCCCTTGTCATGAGTCAGACAATGGTGTCATATGGTTCTGTCATGTTTTAATACGCTAATGTTGGAGAATTTCAGTCATTTGATGAACCAATGGTCTTCCTGGCCTGTAGTTGGCCTTGGTGGAGATGAAATGTTAGGCGTAAACAGGCTCATTTATGCCAATAGGATGCAATGTGGACTTTGCCCCACTAGTCCACTAATCATTATATGATAAGAATACACCATCGTGATGTATACAAATTATTATAGATTTGTTCAAAAGCATAATACTTTGATCTTAAAGTTGGAAATTCAGAATATTTTGGATTCTTTGAAAAGTTCATAATAACATTAGTGTAAAATGTTTCATTACATTGTTAAAGTATACATAACTTTCACATAATCTATAGTGTTAAATCCATATTTGTGATTTGATTTTGAAGGATCACATCATAAAATGTCATGATTATTCCAATTCTTCAGAAAAAAACAATGTCTGTGACAATAAACCTTCCTGAACATCTGTATTGGTTTCTCACTGCAGATGCAACACATACAGCTACTGGTAGTTGACAGTGCAGTTGAAAAGTAACTCAAACTAAGCTTCACCACTGCTTGTCAACATATTTAGTCTGTCACTCATTTGAAGCAAACATGATCTGACAGTTTGGTTTGTAGAATGTCATTATACCCAACTGACTGAATGACTTGAGTTTGGTTTTACAATATTCCAGCAACATCACGGCAGGGGACACCAGAAATGGGCATTACACCCAAACTGCATTGACTGCATTTTTCAGTATCAATCACTGGATTGTCGATTTCATACTAATTACAATTTACATGTCCACCATTGCCAGCTGAAATATTGCCGAGTTCTGAAGCATTGTCTAAAATTATAGAAAGTATGTGGACTTCTAAATGTAAAATACAACTTGGGAAACATGAAATGTTTCGTCTTTGTTTTGTCTGGGCACATTCATGATGAGAACTTTGAATCCAACAAGACTCTAAAATTGCAGTTGACTGTATCTGTCTACCTTACATGTTGCAGGTATTCTGGCTTTGAGTAAAGAGGACAGTGTGAAAGACAAAGTTTTAATTATCTAATCCTAAAATATCATTACTTGTTTACCAGCAAGCTGTTTCTGGTTTGTGTACCTGTGTGTTTTCAAGTTCAACAGACACATAAACTGGGTATGTGTCGGAGCTGATTTCTGTAAGCAATATCAAATATACAGTAAAACATGTTTATTTACACAGAACATTTATTTACAGAGGAAATAAAACCAAAGATTCCAGACATTACAATTGTGAGAAAACATGACATACAAGAGACTGACTGCAATATGCCCTAATGCTCTCGTTGATGTCATGTTAGTTCTCCGTCATGATGTTGCTGTACCAGTCTCGACTAGATACCTGCTTCAAGTGACTGGCACCATCAACCAGGACAGTGAGGAACATGTCTGGAATACTGACTGATGGCAAGCTCTCCAAAGAATGAAATGTCGGTGAGGGGAGATGAACATGTGAACAATGTCAAATGAAAGTGCATTATGCTGGTTGCTTCAGCGTGTAAGATGACACAGAAATGGTGGGATGATGTGAACAATGATCGATGGATGTAGCGGCAATATTTGGCTCATGACGTTCAGATGTCTTCTTTGAGTTGCAATGTTCCAAGATTGGGCACAATACTGTAGGAGTCTTCTAGAGATGGCAGAGAAATGTTCTGACTGGAATCCAGTAAAGATATATCTGCGAATGGTACATCCACTTCTGGCACAGGCACGGTCAGCAATTCCACAGGCACTATACTTTCTTCAACTGTAACAGAAATACTTCAGTAATAAACCATAGCAGGTAAGAAGGATGTGATTATTGAGTGTTGATTTAATACAGTTGTAATATAAAACATTGATCTACATTACATGGACTTTCATCACTGGGTTGGATGAATATAATTTAACACTGGGTTTAGGGGTTTCAGCACAGGCCCTTGTGTCTTTGCGAGGATTAAAGATTTTGAAAAAAATACAAAAAAATTCAGATGACCCCCTGACTCGAAATGCCTCACAGTACAATACATAATGACATGGCCGGACACTTCGTGTACCCAGCCCGCCTGCTTTGCCGATTGCTACGCTACCATTGCATGCAATTGATTAAAGCTTAATGTAAACATAATCATGGATGATTGGCCTATTGATCACCACTCATGACACCTACCAATTCTTTATTGTTATTTCTGCAAGTCGATTGAAACCCGATTTTGACTCTCAACTAAACAATCTTGACACAAATGGATGATGATATGTCCGGACAAAACGGGGGTATGGTCGAAGCAAGCCTTGTCATAATGTATTGTACTGTGAGCCATTTCGAGTCGGGGGTCATCCCAAAACATATTTTTCTTAATCTTTAATCTTCACAAAGACACGAGGGCCTGTGGGTTTCAGTACCTCTGCATTACTCAAGTTGGATGACCTGGGATTCTGCATTACTTGGTGTAAGGAGATCAGATTCTGCAGTACTCAGAGGAGCTGGGGGTTTACCTTACTTACTGGTAGTATGTTCAAATTTGGGTTTTGCATCACTTGGGAGGAGTGTCTAGTTCTGCATTATACAATGTGAGGAGTTGAGGTTTCACAGCACTTGATGTGATGAGCATTGGGTTCTGTATTACTTGGTGAATGGACGTGTGTTGGGGTGGGTGCGTCTACATTATCGAGATGGGAGATCTACTGGGCTGTTTTAAAGTGTTTTTAGTGACTGGATGAAGTTTCAGAAGACGATGTTTCACATTACCTGTAGCTATTTTGGGGGTGGGGAGAGCATCCAGCTGCCCCATCATCTCCTGAATCTTCCGGTCATCCTCTTCATCGTCACTATCACTCCATGTATTGTACAGACATGGGGGACGCCAACTGATCAACTTGTCGATGTATGTACTGATACGCTCCCGTGCAGGCCACACATCTTCATCGTCATCTACATAAGGAACAACTTACTGAGAAACGTGGTAATCTGGGATATGATTTTGTATTTCATATCATTTTGATTGATACATTAATACTATAGGTAGTCTTTCTGGTCTCTACTTCCTTTATGAAGAGGTTAATTCAGAGAATGTCACTATTTGTCAAGGCTATCTGGAATCAAGTTGTAACTATCTGGCTAATGAAGTCGGCCATTTACTTTACCTGGTTCTTTCTCATTGTGCATCTGTTCTATATCTTCACACAGTGAAGATGCAGGTTGACAACTGCGGGTTGTCTGCAACACGGGCACAGATACCTTTGGTTCTTGTTTTCTTAATCCTTTTTCCTGATGGGATATAAAACGGAATTGAAAAAGTATCAATTTACCAGGACAGATTAAATTCTGACACAATGTCCTATTTTAGACCAAACATAAGTATTTGATAATTACTCATTAGAAATGAAACTGAAGTAACACTTTGTCTTGTTTTGTTTGTAGCTAACCCACACTTCCATGATGGTGGATATTAAACAATTGCTTCTGAACAAAACAAACCAGTGATTGATATGATGAGCAATGACCCACACCATCATGATAATATGACATGCAGTCAACTATGTCACCAAGAATGACACATCACACAATCCATCAAGTTAACTCATAAGGCCACTACAGAATGCTGGAGACATTCTAAGCTAGAAAGTCTCATGGTAGAGTACAACTGTTATGCCATTGACATGACCTGCAGTGCTTGCTTACCTGTGACCTTTTCCCTTCTGGCTTCTTGAAGCTCTGAGGGTTCAGTGACAGTGGTTTCAACCCACCCGACTTCCCCTTGAGGACAGGCCCACTTGTCCCATTCACATCTCCAAGGGCCTTGCGAGGCCGGGAACTAGCTGGTGTGTTCACGTCTCCTAGGGCTTTCCTTGGCTTCGTCAGACCTGGAGTGATGGATTCCTGGAACACTTTCCCACCTGGCAGACACCAATATATCAATTACATTTATATCAAATAAATTATTTCAACCCATATTCATGCCATGATTGCTGTAATTGCCACAATTACTGAAAAAGATATGAAATCAACACTGAATATATGGTTGTTATGTGCCAAAGTCAGCACTATTCCAGCTATATTTTTTAGGAAATCTGGTCCTGGCAAACCAATGTTCAAAACAAGGAGCATTGCAACAACACAAGCCATTGGGGTCCAGCAACTCACTTTAAATAGGGTTATCAATCGTGACATTGTATTCCACACTTAAGAGAAGTCTAGGGTAATGGATAGGGGTGAAACGGTACACTGCAGTATTAGTCGAACCATGGTATTTTGCCTTCAGTTCAGTATACCATAATGCAATCCAAAAATTCGGCATTTTGGTTTTTGTACCATCATTTTATTAACTTTTTTAAACCTTTTCTAAAATGTCTAGAAATTGAACCATTTTGTCAAAATCTATATAAGTTTGGGTCTTATTGTCGTTTTTCTGCATTATGATCATATCTCATATACCGAACCAAAGGCCTTGTACCGCAATGCATACTGTATCGTGGTAAGAGCATACCGTTTCACCCCTTGTAATGGAGATCTATTCAGACGCCAAAACAAATGACAAAACCATGATAACAAACTAGACATGAAGAGAACTACAAGGCATGTACTGCAAGAGTGATGATAAATGTTAAAGCCAAACATACGTATTCCTGAAGTGCTCCCATTGCGGACTTTGGGGTTTACACCAAGTGAGTTGGCATTTTCTTTGTCCACATGGATTTGAAATCTTAGTGCAGCCATTTTTAGCAAAGCAAACTCTGAAATAAGAAGAGATATCAGAATTTACCAAACAATTTATTAGCATACCATTGTTTATATGGCAGATATTAACAAAAGCATTCACAATAACTTATTATCGTTGGTAAATTTCCTGCGTGTAACAATTCATGTTTTATTTATATCTGTACTTCATATAATCACATATGTAATAAATATAACTGTAGAAAACTTGAGCCAGTCTAACAGACATTTTGTTCAGTAGAGATTACTGAAACAGTCTTCATGCTTATGAAATCATTTTCACTTGCAAATTAAAGTCCTGAAATTTGACATGTCCTATGATTCAGTATTACCAATGGATCTTTTTGAGGCTGTACATCACAGGCTGACAGCCCTCAAACATGTCGTACATACAGAAATTTCTCTGTTGGTGAAGGCTATCAGAACCAGGAAATAGGGCTGGGACGATACACAATGTCACCATACTATACATATCGCGATATTTTTACCTGCGATACGATACGCATACGTATCACGATACATACACCTTGAAAGAATGACACAGTATCAAGATTAAAAATGATTTATTTCAAGGTATTAGTGTTTAACAACACTATTGTAAAGAACAAACAAGTAACTAAGTAAATAAGTACTGTAACATGTTTAAGATAACACTGTTTTGAAAAAAGTTGTGTATCGTTTTGTATCGATACACCAGTCCACGATACGATAGCTGTATCAAACTTAAATGTATCGTGATGCATCGATGAATCGTCCCAGCCCTACCAGGAAAGAGCATGAGAGAGTTTGGTTTTATGCCACTGTGAACATGAACAGTATTCCAGATACATCATGGCACACCAGAGGAATATGTTGGAGGAAAACTGAAGCAATGCAGGCCTATACATGTTTACAACTGTAGTGAAACCCAGTTATTGGTGTTGTGCTGACAAATCTAGAAATATAATTATGGTAAACCAAGATTCAAACCCACAATCAGGCAGGTCTGGTGTAACCCAGAGATGACTCTATGCATAGCAAATTGTGTTGCATTACATGACGTTGACACCCATGTTCATATGATATATTACCAGTACAATGGAGAATTCTCATATACCTGAAACCACAAATACTGCAGGTTCTACTTGTAGTCTACAAAAACATTTAAACCTGTTTAAGATTGATGATCTTTGGCATGTTTATGGTCTGTGAAAGTTAATTTGTGTGTTGAAATTATTTATCAGTTGTCCATGATCCGCATGATCCATGAAGAGTATACACAACACTCCTAAACTAATATAGACGTGTTGGTGTGCTCCACGTGATATAAGTGTGACATACCAGGAAAGGCTTAAGTTTAATTGACATAATCAAAAACTACTCAGAGTCAGAATCTGAGTTTGGAAGACAAAAATCCCCAAAATATTCCAAAGGAGCCAGTACCTCCCTCAGTAAACGTTGATTTTTTTTATATCAAACAGACATATAGTGTTCAATTAAAGCGATAGGCCAGATCCATAAGACATTTACTCAGTCAGTATCAAAGGAATAGAAGCTGTAAGCTAATGAAGCAGTTCCGAGACTCTTTCATAAACAAGCTGAGAACACGACATGCAGGACAGAAGCCACACTCTCAAAGAGTGAATCTATTTGGGCTTCAAGGAATTCTGCTAATCTGTGTAACTTTGCAATATAACATGCACGATGACCAGGGGGATAAAATATGTATCATACCATAAGCATAACAACACGATGATAGATTCTAACCTGGGTTGTTGTCAGTCTTCTAAGCTTTCGAAGAAAGCGCTTCCGATGTGTCGACCAATCACGTTTGAGCTTTTTCCAAACAATCAAACAGTTCGGCAAGGTGCGTTTGAGCGATACTAACAAGTGGTAATTAGGAAACCAGGAAACAATACAAATAATGTATTCGTTTTGGAAAATAAATTATATTGACTGCTTCTATGACCGGTGCCTTTACCTCTTGAATATATTGAGAAAAAATAATATAACTGGTCAAGCTCTGCAATCTTAGAAATTCAATTTTAATTTTCCGAGAACGAGAACACTAGCGAGAAAACGCAAACACAAATCAATTAGTTCGGCAAATACACTGCTATGTCAACAGTGTTGTAGAACGTGCAGAAATTGTATACTTCAGCCTATGTGCATGTTTATTCTTTGCATAAACTTTGGTTAAACTATGAATTCAGTATCACCAGAAATGACACGAATCACACAAAGGGATAGAAATAAAGATTACAGAACAAAATGTCCTCGGTAATAAAAGTCCTTTTAACTGATTGAGTTATTTATTTGACAAGATTGACATCAAAGATTTAAAAACAAACATGAAGAAATCACATATAATGACAGATTAAATTTTTAAATTAATGTTTGATCTTTACACGACATCTAAAAAAACATGATGTGCTCACGGATTAAATATCTAAACTGGCCTTTGATCCGTAGTAAAACACTATAAAAATAAAGATGAAAAAAGCACTAGTTTTCTATACATTTCTTATTAGAAAATGAAAAGGGGACATTTATCCGGAGAACTTTTTTACTCAGGCAAAGTTAGGACTTTATACCGGTACTTTTTTACCGAGGACTTTTTCACCGAACACCGAAATAAACGCTAGCCCTCTAGCCCGAGCCAATTTCGCTAATATATGTATCCTAGGAGCTAATAGAATTTCTAAGATTTGCGGAATGTTTCTATAAGTTATTACTTTTCATGCTAGTACACTTTCTAGGCTTATCCCTAAAATAAATCTGTTAATTAAGCGTTTAGAGATATTTGCGCACGCATTTTTCGCATGTCCTAGATTTCTATATAATAATTTTCACTTTGTGGTTGAATCATTCATAAAGAATGTGAATTAAGGGGATTAAGCTTTTGTATTGTGGATAGGGAAATGTGTTTTATGTGGAATATGAACACCATGGCGTGTAGGATACACAGTGGCATTTATTACATAAGTAAATGTAAATAAAACAGTGTTAAATACATCATTCGTAAGTCTGTTAAAACGAGCCTGCATGGATAAATTCAGTCTCTTTTCTCTGTCGTGTAAATACAAATGTATATCAAGAATATCCAACAGATTTGATTAAATGCATCGCCCGTGTCATCTTTTTAACGTTGTAACACCGTGCGTCTAAAGAAGTAGGTTTCTTCGATTTGGCTTCAGTAAGCTACGGTTATATATCATGACCTTGTTATGTTATACGAAACAGTTCGATATATCCGTGAGTTCCTTATAGGTGTGTGTTTGTTATAAACGTAGGTTACTATATATTGCATAGGATTAGCATTTGCTTACTTCATTTCAGTATGCGCATTATAGACCTTGATGTGACACTGTGCTTTCATATATACTAGAATGGTGTATCATTGGTTTGTTTGTTGCACTGAGCAATATTCTCAGTTTCTATGGATGTCTTAAATACCGGTATATTTTAGGCAATCCCAAACATTGGCCCGTTACTGAAGCCAATCAAAAGGTAGATGCTGTTTCTATGGATGTCTTAAATACCGGTATATTTTAGGCAATCCCAAACATTGGCCCGTTGCTGAAGTCAATCAATCAAAAGGTATGGATGTCTTATACTATATTTTATGGAATCCCAAACATCTTAAAAGCCAATCAAAAGGTAGATGCTTTTCTATGGATGCAATCCCAAACATTGGCCCGTTGCTGAAGTCAATCAAAAGGTAGATGCTGCTTCTATGGATGTCTTAAATACCGGTATATTTAAGGCAATCCCAAACATTGGCCCGTTGCTGAAGTCAATCAAAAGGTAGATGCTGTTTCTATGGATGTCTTAAATACCGGTATATTTAAGGCAATCCCAAACATTGGCCCGTTGCTGAAGTCAATCAATAGGTAGATGTTGTTCATGTCTTAAATACCGGTATATTTAAGGCAATCCCAAACATTGGCCCGTTGCTGAAGTCAATCAAAAGGTAGATGCTGTTTCTATGGATGTCTTAAATACCGGTATATTTAAGGCAATCCCAAACATTGGCCCGTTGCTGAAGTCAATCAAAAGGTAGATGCTGTTTCTATGGATGTCTTAAATACCGGTATATTTAAGGCAATCCCAAACATTGGCCCGTTGCTGAAGTCAATCAAAAGGTAGATGCTGTTTCTGTGGATGTCTTAAATACCGGTATATTTAAGGCAATCCCAAACATTGGCCCGTTGCTGAAGTCAATCAAAAGGTAGATGCTGTTTCTATGGATGTCTTAAATACCGGTATATTTAAGGCAATCCCAAACATTGGCCCGTTGCTGAAGTCAGTCAAAAGGTAGATGCTGTTTCTGTGGATGTCTTAAATACCGGTATATTTAAGGCAATCCCAAACATTGGCCCGTTGCTGAAGTCAATCAAAAGGTAGATGCTGTTTCTGTGGATGTCTTAAATACCGGTATATTTAAGGCAATCCCAAACATTGGCCCGTTGCTGAAGTCAGTCCAAAGGTAGATGCTGTTTCTGTGGATGTCTTAAATACCGGTATATTTAAGGCAATCCCAAACATTGGCCCGTTGCTGAAGTCAGTCCAAAGGTAGATGCTGTTTCTGTGGATGTCTTAAATACCGGTATATTTAAGGCAATCCCAAACATTGGCCCGTTGCTGAAGTCAGTCCAAAGGTAGAGGCTGCAGACAGGGCCAAGCCTCAGCAACTGAATGCTGGTTGCTGTTACACACACACACACACACACACACACACACACACACACACACACACACACACACACACACACACACACACACACACACACACACACACACACACACACACACACACACACACACACACACACACACACACACACACACACACACACACACACACACACACACACACACACAAAAGCGTCTATCGGCACCGGAAGCAGCGCATCATGATACTCAAGGATCTTCACCACTGTGAAAGAAAAACCCATTTAATTCCTGGGTGTTCGAGGGGGTCAGAGTTGCACTTGGATACAATCACATGAGGGCTATATCAATGTGAACAAATGTATCAAATCCAATTCTACTGCTAAACTCAAGCAAAGTGAAAACGGTATCCCAAGACTAAATAACACTATGTGTTTCAAGTACAAATTATAATTATTCTATGCATGCTATCAAACTGTAAACCCATCAACTGTTTTTGGTTTGTTTTGAGCTACATGGTCCTGTCTGTCTACTAGAGTTAACAATGTTACCAACAGACCATAAATACAAATTTACCACGTGACCCTGACGTTGTCTTAACATCCATATACACCTTATTTATTAGCTGACGATGTAAACCTATACATCACTATATACAGTCGTCTGTTGCAATACTTTGTCTGGTTTATTTCGTTCTACAAATTGGGGAATATTTGAGGCCAGCAGGCACAACGAGATTCCCGCGGTAATCTGGTCCACGTCTGATATCATTTTAGTTCTGTGTTTAATGAGACCGCCTCCGTGGTGTAGTGGTTAGAGCGTCCGCCCGGAGAGCGGAAGGTCGCGGGTTCGATCCCTGACCGCGTCATACCAAAAGACGTTAAAATATGGTACTTGTTGGTTCCTGCCTGGCGCTCGGCATTAATGGGTACAACAAGGACTGGTCGGCTCGGAGTCAGTATAATGTGTCTGAGTGGGGTATTCATGCTTCACTGCGGCATGGTATCTCAGTGGGCTAGCACTATAAAACCAGCTTCAGTCTGGGCTAGTACAAGAAGCCGCACATACACATACACACGCATGCACGTCGTCATATGAGCGAAATATTCTCAAGCACGACGTTAAACTCAATTTCACCTCACCTCTGTGTTTAATATGGATGGGCATCTGGAATTAGATGTTTTGCTAACAGATGACCCCAACACACGGATCGAGTGAGTGAGTTTAGTTTTACGTCGCTTTTAGCAATATTCCAGCAATATCACGGCTGGGGACACCAGAAATGGGCTTCACACATTGCACCCCTGTTGGGAATCGAACCCGGGTCTTCGGCGTGAGGAGCTCACGCTTTAACCACTAGGCTACCCGCCCACTCACCTAGAGTACACGAGTATCGGGGAAGAGAGAGCTTGCGATGCACACTCATAACTCTACATAAAACTCAGCTATTGCCATTGTTTACAGCGGTAAAGTAAAACTTCACTGTCTTCATGACTCTAGGGAGATTAATGTTGTTACAAAAGGCAAAACGCTCGATAGAAGAGGTCTAATAGACCCGTGTGAAAGTTTAATGTAACGACGTTTGAAGGTTTCGAAGAGAATGGTGTAAAATATAATCGATACTGATCTGGCGCCTCCAGGGTTTGCACCCTTCCCCCTGCTCCTTCCCCGCCCCCACGCCATGTAACACACTCCCACCCCCCAGCTTCACCCTCACCCACAGCCTTTGTCTTTCCGGCGCTCTGTCTCCCTTGATGCGTTAACTCAGTGAACATACTGTATAATGTAAGGCAATGGCTTTTCACGCTATCGAGAACTGGCCCGTTGTACCCAGCAGATACTGACTGACATGTGCAGTGCCACGTATTCTCTCGAGGAAGTTGTCAGGAACGCTTAAGTGTCAAAAAATATATAATTTATTACCAGCAATGTATCAATTATTTGAAACCTTTTATCCGCACGTGTTGCATAGCAACTATTATGTTGAAACACCACCGCACCGAAACGATACCGTTTTGCGCGAAAACGGCTACTGAGGCTCAAGGGAATTAACTTACTTAAAACTAAAATAAATCTGAGATATGTAGTCTTTATGCCTAGTTCATTAGTAACGCCACAACACTAATTAACATCACTGTCACGTGTTAATTTCATTTTGTCACTATATATCATTATTGTAAATACCATTGGATGATTGTAATATACTTGTACGTCATAAAATACGTTTATGATTACAAATATACTTTTCTGATTAAATCCAATGTTCGTGCAGTCAATCACATCTTCTCCAGATTAAGTTTAAATGACTTTAATCAAACGTATTATCGCGAGAAGGTATGATTTCACAGTTACAGATCTCTCCATCAACGTTTGTTTTGATAAAACGTCGCAGACAGTTACAAGGGCCTTTCAAATATTGTCATTGGTAAAGCTGTCAGAAGACGGAACTGAAATGCAATGTTACAGGTTTCCAATAGCCGTCCTGTTAGAACCTGTCAGTAGTGGAAAGTACAAAAACACAAAGGCAAGTGGTCAACAAAGATCGAAAAACTGTTACGGGACCTGACGGTCAGGCTGGGTGACTTGGTTGATGAATGTCTTATATTGCACGTCCAACTGATGCATGTCCAACTGATGCACGTCCAACTGATGCACGTCCAACTGATGCATGTCCAACTGATGCATGTCCAACTGCATATAGACCGATGCTCCGAATGTCAATCACTGGATGCCTGGTCCAGACTCGAATATTAATTTACAGACGGCCGCCTTATCACTGCTGAATACGACATTAAACAACAAACAAGCTAACTTTCATCCACTAGATAGTGGAGGGTTATCGGAACTTATACCCTGGAGTTATCGCGGATGACTAACCTTTAAGCCTGTTAGAAACATAAAATAAAGTGAAATAAATAGCAAAAACATACATTATTTGTTATAGTTGCATCGATGAGTTTAGTTATCGACCAGACTGACTCCACTATAAATGTGTATACATTGTCGTCGCTGTGTTTGCTTGTAGCATCAGTGGGACTATGTGGGTGTTATCTAGTGATTAAACTGTTCTTCGTGTTTTGTTGAAATCCTGGTTTTGATATCTTTCTGATATGTCTGTGTTCTAGATACACTACAAAATCCCGATAATGTTTGGTCCGTGTTTGATACGTATTACCAGGGAGACTCTATAGAGTATCCCTGGTATTACATATTGTAACATGCAACTTTACAACTTTATGATATGGAGAAAAAAATGATAATCTCCAATCTCTCCAGTTTTCAGTCACTTTTAGAATCAATTCTTATATTTACATTACATTTTTGTAGGCATTTCTTAGAAGTCGACAGATAACCGTCTCTCTAATGTGCTTCTATAGATATTATTACATTTATAAAAAGAGCCTACCGGTAATATTATTTTGTTCGTGTAAAGGCGGTTTGTTGTCATGGTCAAATTAATACTGTGAATAAATACCGTAACCTGATTGTATCAAAATGGCGACTTCAGACGATTCCAGGGAAGTGTTTCAAAGGAGAGTTCAGGCTAGAATTGCCGGACAGTTTCTGAAGCAAATTGATCCAGGTATATATGTATACAGGAAAATACCATGATGTCAAATGTCCTCGTAGTTACAACCTATAGCCCCTGACACGTAAATAGTTGTCGATATATTCTAGTAGTCCGGTTTTCGAGCGGCTTCAATTTCTAGATATCCGCACAAATGTCTTGATGAATTATTCATTGAGAGACCCTTCGTTCAACAAAACGGTTCGTGCCTGATGAATTAAGTGTTCAGTAGTTGAAGTGAAGCATGAAAATCAAGGTGTCACTGTCATAAAACCAGTGTCAGATTGAAAGCGTTCCTTTGATTGAAATAATGGCAAATGGGAAATAATCTTGAAACTACAGATCCGTGCCAGTTATATTCGGACACTTGATGTTATTTCCATAGACTAAGATGTTATGTCAGTGTAGCATAAATAGTTTTCATGAAGTGAGTTTAGGATAGGTCTTTGTACAATTTGAAAGGCAAATTTGAAATCATCTCTGCTCTGCGCACATATACTACTTTCAGTTCAACCACTATTTAACTAATGACATCACATTTATCAACTTACGTATAGTTCCACAATCCCATAGGCCGCCATGTTAAAGGAGTTCACGGCACTGTACATATGTTGATTAAATTGCAGAGAAAGGGACAGCCAGGTGTTAGAGAAGCATGTGCACAAGTGCCCACCAAGTTATTGATTCATTAGCCTGTGCTGTGCCGTCTCCATCCTTTCTCGCACACCTGGCTGTCCCTTTCTCTGCACTCCTCCCTCGTAACAAATAGTGAACTGTGTCAAAATTTTAATGATAGTTTCTTAAAGAACTTTTTTGGTGGAGTCTGGAAAATTTTCAAATATAAGAAAGCTGTTGGGTTTTAGTAAATGATAAACATGTGTACTATTTATATTTATGTGGCAATTTTGTACAATGATAAAATTTGAAATTCATCGGTCCGTTTCTGACTCAAACGGACTGTATATACATATACAATTTGCTATGACTTGATATGCTCTTTCTCAGAATTTTGTACCAAACTGCAAGTGAGTTAGCCCTATCAACTTTTGCATTATCATATTGTCAACCTATAATTATTATTGTTCAATTCTACAATGTATCTGCTTGTGTTATTATGCCATTCACACTCGTAACCAAAACAAAATGTTACATATTGTTTGTACTCTGGGCCTATGGCCCCTATTACCAAAATAAATTGAACTTGAACTTGTAATCCCAAATATAACATACGTTATATGTGATTGTAGGTAAAATGATTGACTTGGATCATACGAAAATTAAATTCATGAAAATTATTTATGCTGCACTAAATTAACATGTAAATCTATGGAAGATACGTCAAGTGTCCGAATATAACTGGCACGGGTCTGTACCATGGGCCCCAGAATGTAGAGCAGGGACACATCCAAATTTACGCCCTGGGTACCAGAACCCAAATATCCAACCCAACCCAGGAAAACGTTGGAGGTCTCAACCTGTGGGTAGAAAATGTCTGATAGTGAATTATTTTACCGGGCATGAGCAAAATCTCTATTTACATGATTTAGATACACAAACAAATGACCTGGTTGACTGAAGTTGTCATGTGTACAGTATCAGAAAGGTGAATTGCAGTGCATCACTGAGTTTTTTTGTTGTTGTTGTCATTAGCAAGATATCACATGACTATCAATGGGTCAGGTTAGTCCTTCAGGTGCCCAGGCAATGCTTGGGATTCACTCAACCCAAGTACCCTTGGTACCCATACCAACCTTACCACAATTACCCGAAGTATGAATGCAGTATATATCAGTTAGGTGACAGGTGCTGAACGTCTATCACATTTGAGTTATTAAACTCACAAACATTCCTAATGCAACTGTTAAAGCTAATGAGTGTTTCTTGAAACAATGCTTAAATTGTTTGTATTTTTCATGTAAGTATCATCCTCTGTATAATCCTTGCTTAATATACTATATGAAATCTATTGTAATTATTTCATACCACATGTGGCTTAATAATTTTCTTTGCTTAGATAAACCAGAAAACATTGTTAAAAAGTTTATCCAATCAAAGGTGATTCATCATATTCATTCATAAAAATAATTAAGTTTCTTTTCACTTATCAGCCATGTAGATGGAATATTGCTGAGTGTGGTGTTAAACAACAAACCACCAACAAACTTACCATAGACCAACATACTCTCTGTTGTGATATTGTGTAATTGAATCAGTTAAGGTGAGCTGTTGTACCTATGATTTTCTTGCAATATTATGTTGCAGATGCCCTTGAGGACCCAGACCGATACAGTGGTACCAATGCTGGCAAACTTACCAGTCAGATAGACCCAGAAACTCAGAAGAAATTTGAGGCAAAGTTTGGAAAATACCGTCGAAAGGAATCTGTATTCAGCATTGTCAATGTGCTCTGGTTGGTGGCTGGTGTGGCGGTGTTTTATTTCTCAGATGTTGTCATGGTGATCAGATACGACCCCCGTGTGGACAGGTAAATGTTATACAATTTGTTGTGAATGTCATGTGTGATCCTTGTTTTGACTAGTGATTGTTTTACAACTTTGTTGTGAATGTCATGTGTCTTCCTTGTTTTGACTGGTAAATGTTATACAACTTTGCTGTGAATGTCATGTGTCTTCCTTGTTTTGACTGGTGACTGTTATACAACTTTGCTGTGAATGTCATGTGTCATCCTTGTTTTGACTGGTGATTGTTATACTTATCAAAAGGTGATCAGTTATGACAATAATTTTGACAGATGTTTGTTTTTCTTTACAAAAGGGGTCATGGGGATCAAATATACTTCATTTCATGTTGATAAGGGTTGGTGTAAGTTTTCCGATGTTGCCATGGTGACTAGTAATCATAATGCAACTCATGCTGACAAATGATTGTTTTACTTTTCATTGTTGACAAGCTGACATATGTTTGTTTATCTTTACGGATGTTGTCATGGTGATATGATATGATACGTGTGTAACCGTGTAACTCACAGAAGATGGTTATCACAAGCAAAATAGATATTTCTTCAAAACAGCACTTTGCAATTTTTGTAATTACTGTGAAAAACGTTCCTTATGTCCGGAATGGCTTGTTATCAGTTTAACTAATACCAACACACATGCATCTATACACACACACTTGTCATCATGATGTTTTGTGATTCTATTTCAAGTGACAGAGTCTGTAAATATGAGCTCATGCTGACAGATTGATGCTGTCATGGTGACTAAATATGATGCTGATGCTGTATGTCTGGGTTATACATTTGTATGGGGTAAACATTCATATTTCGTGTACAGGTTTCAAACTTTTAATTCCTCTGGAGCGTTAGTGCAGACTTTAACATAACATCTTTAATGCAAATGTATTTTTTAAAAGTGTATGGCCATAGTGAGAATTGTTAGAAAATACTGTATGTGAGGATACAGAGTGAGTAAGTGAGTGAGTTTAGTTTTACGCAGTTTTTGGCAATATTCCAGTGATATCACAACAAGGGACACCAGAAATGGGCTTCACACATTGTACACATTACGGTATTGAAACCTGGTTTCAGTGTGACGAGTGAAGGCTGTAACTACTAGGCTACCCAGCGTTCAAAATACCTGCCTGCCGATCGCCCGGGATGGGTTATTTTCAACACGGACTGCCAGATTCTCAAATTCACCTGCCTGACGGTCGGGTTAAATTTAGACTTGTATATGAAGTTAATATTAGTTTTATCAATATTTTACAAGTTTTAATTTAATTATACTAAGTAAATTGGTATTTTTGTGGGCAGGTAAGTTTTGGTAAGTGCTGGCAAGTTTTACATCTAACCAGCGCGCTGTGGTCTGGCTGAACATTTTGGGAGTTTCATACCCTGGGCTACTCCACCGTCTCAGTTCATGTATAAGGCATAACATTAATGACATAGACCACAATATGAGCGCACTGCCAATTGAGCTCAAATAAGTACATTTGAAGGGGTATGAACTTAGAATACATTCATTGATTGGCCTCCGGATAGCAGAAATGATCACCATTACAATTCGGATGGAATCATTACAATGTTTTTCACCAATTTCCACCAATTTGCTAAAATGAAATGCATTTCAATATGGGCTGAAAACATCAACTGCTATTGATTTTCCTTTCACTGATGTGTTTGCTGCAAATAAATGAAAAATATTGATAAACATGATTATTAATAAATGCACATAGAGCATTTTGGTCATCTTTTCACATGTTGTTCATAGTTTCTTCGAAAATGATGTTTTCACTGTCTGCATATTGTATGTAACTTTCATTGTCATTTCTACCCATGAAGAGCCAGGTTAGAATTGATCTTCTGCAACCTGTGCTTGTGGTAAGAGGCAACTAATTAGATCAGGTGGTCAGACTCACTTACTTGGTTGACACATCATAGATCGATGCTCATACTGTTGATCACTGGATTGTCTGGTCCAGACTTGATTATTTACAGACTGCCGCCATATAGCTAGGATATTGCTGAGCGTGACGTTAACAACAAACCAACCCACCAATCATGGTCATTTCACCAAGGTTTAGCTTGTCTTCTTTACTGTTTGGATGTTTTGATGTGTGGAAGACGAATTTGTCAATCATGCTCAGGGCTCTAGTGAATTTTTCAACATCAGGAGTACGTACTCCTTATTTTTTCAATATGAGAGTACTGGAAAACCTTAAGTGTACATTTAGAGTACTGAATGGAAATTAATGGAGTACTATATCACTAATCTTGTAAACTTGCAACATCAATATTTATGTCTGATTAACAATTCTTGACATGCAGCACCTTGTTCATAAAGTATTCACAGCAGGGCCTAGATTTTTTAAGCTCTCTTAGCGCTAAGATAGTCGTAAGTGCCATACATTAACATTAACTTATGGCTATCTTAGCACTAAGAGAGCTTCCAAAATCTAGGCCCAGGAGACTGTAGTTTGTGTATGTGTGAAGCCGACATTTGATAAGTAATATTGACTGGTAAAAAGATTAGGTACCATATGGAGTTTAAAAACGATACACTTGGTAATTAAATAATGTTGTTATCTATTTTCCTTATGAAATTGTCCATGTGTATATGTAAGAAAGTAACTCAAAATTGATTTGTTAAAGTGGTATATTTTGCAGATACACCACTCACCGAGAGCTCTGCTGTACTGAAGTAAAAGTAATAATTACCCAAATTACATTGGCTGACCAGCAGATGTGACAAATGGCAGTTATGTTTCCCAGCTGGTCTATCTCAGCTGAACAGAACAGTATTATATTCTCATAAATCAAACAACATGATTTAGAGAACATACATATATTGTGATACAATGTGCCATGATAGCTTATATACATTTAAATATGTTAGAAATGTATGATAAAACAGGGACAGTTTCTGTACCAAAGGGGGATAGTTGGATTTCATAAAGGAAATATATTTATCAATATGAGTGTTATAACAAAAGTAACTTGAAAGTGTGCTTTTTCATCATCAAGAGCTGTATATGATAAGATACCGTAATGTGAAATTCATCACAAATAACATGGTGGCTACAAATTGTACAATATTCTAATTTCTATGTCTATATTAGACGGTTTGTCTAGTTATTTTTCTAATTATCACAAGTCCTGAGTGAGTCAAATGAAGACACATACAAGGTGCGAGATGTAAAGTTGTTTTAAGACATCCCAACATGTGACCACCAAGATTGAGAACCATGTTGTTTCTAAATGGCATTTCTGGACATTGATGTGTAATAACACACACATCTTGAAAACCGAATTTGTATCACCAGATTGGTGCTGAGATGGACCATTATATATGGTTTTGAGTGAAAAACTGCTTGTTTACAACTTAATTTAGTTTCATTCTTGGGGGAATTGTCAGAAGTGACAGCTGTTTAAATTGTCGCTGAATGTGGTGTTTCCCAGTGGGGATGTTGTCAAAAGTGTGGCAGAATTTGATTTGACCTTTGGATAAGATGTTGTTCTGTTGAAGCTGGGATGGAAATTAACCAAAGACTTCTGCCTGCATGAATATGAATAACATATAGCAATATTTTCAAGGAAAATGTTTGAAATTCTGCTAGCACTGAGAATATCTGTAACATTATTTGGTCAGGCCAGCAGGCTTGTGATAATTTCCAACCCTGTTTAGTGTTGTTCAGATTGCCCCATAATAACATTAAACACAGTGTTTGGTTATTCACCATTGCATGATTTGAGTCACTGCAATTGCTGAGATGGCCCCTTAATGAGATGTTGTGTAGTGCCTGTTATCCACCATTAGATGTATTGAGATGGCCCCTTGTTGAGATGTTGTGTCAGGCTCTTGTTATCCTTTGTTACATGTGTTGAGATGGTCCCTTAATCAGATGTAGTGTAGTGCTTGAATTATATATATTTCAATGTGTTGAGATGGCCCCTAGATGGGATTTTGTGCAGTGCTCATGTTATCCACCTTCCATGTGTTGAGATGGCCCCTCGTTGAGATGTTGTGTAGAGCTTGTGTAATCCACCTTTCTATGTGTTGAGCTGGCCCCCCTAATATGAGTGCTTGTGTTATCCTTCCTCACATGTTTTGAGAAGGTCCCTTGTTGAGATGTTATATAGTGCTTGTGTTATTCTTCATCACATGTTTTGAGATGACCCTTGACATGCCAATTTTTTTGTTTATGAGATTTATTAACTGTTGGCAGTATTGATCATGAATTATCAAGTCTTCACTCAACTCAATATTTCTTCTGCCATTTTCTGTCCTTATGGACACTCATTCTTCTTCAAATTGACACTCGATTATTTTTGTTAACCCGTTTCTATAGCAACTAATGTCTCTCGATCTGTCAGTCATTATTTTTGGAGGATGATCATTAGGTTGGTTTAATTACCCTGGAATGTTTTCAGTTAGATGGGTTAGCAGAATGATAAATGTGACTTGGTTTTCCCAGCCACTAATCTTGTTTGCCCCTTTCTTGCAGGCAGCATGAGTGAATGTAACTGTAATGGCGACCAGGCACCTGTTATACATTACTTGGGCTCGTTTTGTTTGCCTGCAATGAGAAGCATTGAATCAGATGATGTACAGTTATTTCTCATCCTCTTGTCTCATTAGTTTGTTGGGTCTGAGCAACAGCGTTTTCCCTGATTACGACGTGAATCTCCTGATTAGGTGGTTGTTGGCAGTCAGCAGTATTCCAGTTATGTATCACAGTCTGTAAATGATTTAGTTGGACAAGCATACCTGTGGTTGACGTTCTGAACAACATTCTATACCATCAAGGTGACTGAGTATGGCCATCCCATGTAGTTCCATGCTATAACAGGTTGTGGAGTTCTTGGTCTATACTGACTGGGCTCCCAGTTCCTGTGGAGTAGAAGTCTGTTGTCATTGGTTGCTTGAAGTTGTTTGTCATAAATTGACAGTTTGTTGCATAGCTGTCAACACTTGAAAGTTCCAATGAGTGAGAAGCTGGGATCCACAGGAGCACAGTGGTGTA